GGAGGAGGTGTTGCTAGCTGGTTGGTGGAGGTAGAAAGAGGCAGGTCACCACGAGGTCAGGTCTTAAATAGCGGGGGTAGGCGTGGCTTAGTAGTTGACCCCCGCTCCGTGATGTATGGCGGCGCTGGTTGACCTAGACCACGAGGCATACACTGGGGAATTGGTGGGGTCGGCTACTCAGCAACAAACCGCGTTTGTAGGGGAGAAATCCACTACAGGTGCATGTCACATGTGAGCAATAACGACGAGGGCGTGGATGAGCCAGCCGCTAGAGGAGACAACTGTCTAGATACACAATATCTGTGGGAGAAGAGAGGGAGAAAAAGGGTGTGTGGAGGCGATGAATGTTGTGCTTCCCTCACGGCAGGTACAGAGTCGTCAGATGCACCTGCTGGGGTGTGTGGGCCTGAGTCAGGAGCAGGGGCTACGTCAGCAGAAGCGGATGAGGGCTCGTGACAGCAGCTGGGTCCACGACAGCAGTAGGGTGCAGGACAGTTGGTGTTTGCTAAGGAAGTTACAACAATGAAGGAATAGTTATGGAATGTTGAGAAATGGGTCCTGTACAAGGTACGGAAATGCATGTCATAATTTGAAAATAAAAATCAACGGAAAGTTTAATGAAGCGGATATCGTGAGTAGTAGTTGTATACCCAAAAAGTTCGTAAGTGTATGGAGAAGCTTATCATGGTGTCATAATTTAACCCCACTGTCAATTGACAGTAGGATCATTATAGAATCTAGTCTTATTAAACATACCAAAGCAGTCAACATGAATTTGAGTAATGGCATGTACAAACTGGACAATTTTGTAATTAATAAGATTTGTAACCAGGTGAGAAGGTTGGGTCACCTTACCCTCTGACCTGACTACCGACCGTTGCGGTGCTTTTTAAAGATTAGTAGGGTCATTACCTAATACCTGACTATTGTGGACCTGATCTCACCCTCCTCTGTATATATACACCTTGTTTTGTACTTCTCCTTAGTTTGTACTCACCCCTGAAGATGTGAATTACACGAAAGCGCTTGGGAACTTCGTGTTTTCTTCTTTCCTTGTGGTTATCAGCACATTATATATATATATATATATATATATATATATATATATATATATATATATATATATATATATACATATATATACATACATACATACATATATATATATACATATATATATATATACATACATACATATACATACAGCATATATATATATATATATATATATATATATATATATATATATATATATATATATATATGACATCACCCCCCACTGGGTAAGCATTCCTAGTCACACCCAGTAGGTCGAGGGTTCGATTCCTTGCTGGTGAGGTCGTTGATTATATGTTCAAAGTCCGCGTGTTATATGGACTAAAAATGAAGTGTGTATATATATATATATATATATATATATATATATATATATATATATATATATATATATATATATATATATATATATATATATATATATATATATACTGTATATACTGTATATATATATATATATATAGATAGATAGATAGATAGATAGATGGTGGGACACGGACATTTAAAAAATGTATATATATATTTTTTATTTTCTTATTTTATCTTATTTTCTTCATTTTACGAAAGGGCCTAGTCCGTGGCCAACCTGAGAACCACCCCATGGCCCACCAGTCGAAGACCACTGCGGGCCTATACTTATTGTACAGGGGCCTCATACTCCGGGCCCTATATTTATTGTACAGGGGCCCTTATGGTTGTGAATATATTATATGAAATACTCGGTGTACACTTGAAACAAGGTTATACGCTGCGCGACAAATTACTTTCAGTGAGCCCCCCTAGATACCGGTGGGCCCTAGGCCAATGGCCTACTTGGCCTATTGGTAAATCCGGCCTTGTGTATACCGTAGGTGTGATTATTGTTGCTATGAAGGACAAACTCCATAGTCTTGGGATAACCCATTAAGGATATTATAGATATACAGGTATAGATAAATATATGAAAAAATAACCAAATTTCATATATGATACTGTATATATATTCACAACACATGAACAGCAATGTGTTTTTCTTCATTACAAAGTGTACCATTTTAAGAGTTGAAAACCATCACCAAAATCCATTGAAATAGTATATAAACTTTCCTCTTAACAATTGAACATTAAATAGTATAATTCACTTGGGTCCTGAAAGTTGGTTTGTTGATATAGTGTCAGAAAGGGGAATAAGCTTCATGATATCGTGTATGTTCTTCTCTCTCTCACCTACTGTCAGAAGGGTCGACAAATTTTTCTGACATCGTGTAATCAGGTCTTCTTTCACTAATAATGAACATCATTTCTCTCATCCTTGAATTCATTTTTATCATTTCTAAGGAGTCATCAGAATCCATCAAGTGTTTTATAATATTTATCATGGACTCCTCTTCCTTAATTATGTCAAGGGTGGGTCATATGGGGTTACAGACATGATGAGGGAGAGTAGTGCAAGATGGGTGTAGGTGACAGGAAAGAACAGAGAGACAATATGTACATTCACAAATACTTGCTCATATCTTTAAATTGCATGTACGAAAAGGGGATTTTATGACATATAATAATGATTCATAAAAGCTGGAGAGGAGTCAGTACAATAGATGGATAATTTTATAGTACACTTCCTATGTTCACATCGCTTAAAAATAAGATGAATGAACAGACTTTGTGTGAAATAAAACAAAGCCTTGGATTGCCTTTGTTGTCCTTGTGGTGCTGTGTTAGTGATCCTTGTTAACACGCAGAGGATAAGGGTTCAATTCCCAACTGGTGAAGTATTGTTTGTACAGGCATATGAAAGTCCGCAAGCATACGGACTGTTGAGATGTATATTGATTGGTAGCCTCGTGTTTCCTAGCTGGAGTCGGTAAAATGCTATTACGACCACACAGTTGGAACGGGCAATCCCCAATAAAGGTTCACGTCGCTTAAAAGTAAGACAAATGAACAGGTTTTGTGTGAAATAAAACGCCGCGCCATTGGAGAGACTGAGTTTAAGGTCGTCTGAGGGAAGACCGCGTTCTCGCACGTAGCAAGAGTTTGTGGAACTAGGCCTATATGATATTAAATGTAATTTACCGAGTTAATAGGGACGCGAATCATGAAATTAAATATCAGTTATAAAATTGAAAATAATTATAGATCGTTTCCCAGTCTGAAAATGTTGCGTATGTCCTAATTAAGCTGTTAATCGTCTGGTAAATAAGTCACTCCTGGAAAGCGTGAACCAGTGAGCAAGGTGGCTGGGGAGTGGTGAGAGAGGTCAAGGACCACCTCTGTGCTGTACCCAGGAGAGACGGATCACGTGACCTGGTTCCTTCGTTTATTTAACATCAGTATTAACAAGTAAGTTTTATTCAATCTCAGACAAAGCTTGATAGGGCGGGAGGAACAAACGGTGATGTGAGACAATAGCTAACAGCCCGGGTTTTTCAGGGCTCTGTAGACCCCACGCGGTATGATAACGTCCACTGGCGGTATGAGAGTGGTGAAGCGAGCTGCATGACCGTCCACTGACCTGGGTTTGAGCCACCTGTTGAGTATGGTGAGAGTTAGAGTGAACCCAGCTGTCTAGGTGCCCAACTAACGACGTGACGATCGTTTGGGGGTCATCAACTCTCCTCTACCTCAGCTCACAATACCACATATCTTCAAGCAGCTTAGTGAAAACCTTTTACTAACGGGAAGCTAAAGCTTCTCTCAACTGTACAAGGTCTGAGTGGCTCACTCCCTTCCGTTTCATGGATGTACTGGGGGCAAAGTGAAGCCAGCTGAGTGATACAGGGTCACACACTGGGACCAAGAGTCCAGTGGAACTTAGAGGTACATTTCCAAGGTTGAGAAAGGCTGGTTTGGGCCTTAAACTACAGGTGCCTGTTGGTTGTGCCTTAAAAAAACTAAGGGGTGCAGGTGGAATCTATGTGTTAGGTTAGGAAGCATGGTTCACGGGTATTGGTGGACTCGGTAACTTCTTAATAATCGTGATAATATTTTTGTGTGTATTTAATACTATTTTTTCAGTTACTAATGTATGCTGTGTGCATTTAATATTTCCTTATAATTTCAATCTCAGGTATAACCCTTGTTCCCCAGAGTAGTGTTTAAGTTAGGTTAGGAGGTGTGTATCTGTTGGGGTAACATAATTTTGCTGAGTGCCCTGAAGGCCTACTCAGGGTGGAGTTAATAAGTTCTATTTTTTATACCATTTTCTCAGTGCTGGATGATATTATGTTGAGTGCCCTTTAGGCCTATTCATTGTAGAGTTATTAATTTCTTATTTTTTTAATACCATTTTCTCAGTGATTGATATTTTGTTGAAAGCCCTTAAGGCCTGGTTCATGTGTGCAAGCAACATTTCTTAATACTTTAAACTTATTGTCCTCTAATGAGGCATTGCCTGAGGTTCTAATAATTTCAACATCATGTATAACTTTTATTCCCCAGAGTAGTATTTTAAGTTCAGGTTAAGAGGTGCGCATATTGGTGTACCATTATTTGATTGTGTTTGTAGTGTTGGAGGGAATATAAGTGTCTAAATTTTACAGTGTATCTCATTCATCCCAGTCACAGACGCTATCCTTCCACGGGTCACGGACAATTCATTTTGTTTAGTAAATTTAAGTGTTCTTGTGCTGGTTCGGGATTTCTCTCAAAGGGGGGCTTCCACTGCAATTACCATCTAATAATCTTTAATAAACCCCAAGTCTAGTGAGAAATTAAAGTCCAGTAATTCCTACCGGTTATATATATATATATATATACAGTATATATATATACAGTATATATATATATATATATATATATATATATATATATATATATATATATATATATATATATATATATATATATATATATATATATATATATATATATATATATGCAACAAAGAAAACAGTGCATTTATCTTTTTTCCACTCTTACGTATTTTCCTAATCAAGGCATGAAGGGGTTGGAATACACACACAAACATTCTCCCTTTATTAACAGTATGACTTTCATGTATTACACCAAGTTATCAAATGTAGTAAAATGTACTGGGCCCAATAAATGATCCCCAACCTAATCTAACCTTTATGACTGGGGCTCAATCCTAATGGCTATGTTGAGGTCTATTAGAACTAGAGTCTACTGAAACAGTTACTAATGATGTTGGAATCACAGTAAGCAAATACTTTTTTACTCTAAAATATACATACAAATTTAATATTAGCATATGAGTTACATGTTAACCCAACTGTAAAGCACAAGCATTCCTAGTAAGACTCACAATTATAAGACCAATTATCTCTCTAACCTTGATGGTAATAACAGCATAGTAAACAATACTTTACAAGGAACAAGTCACAACTACTTTGTCTTCATTTATTAATTAATTCTACAACAAACCCAATATAAAATTGGCTAAAATAAATTTAATTACATTTTCACAACCAATTAGGAATTCTTAAAAGTACTGTATTGTAATGCATATCCTTCACTCGTTGAAAATACGTCTGGAAATCTCTAGAAGTTCCAGCATGACAGAGATGTAATGAGTGTCACACGGGTAGAAGATATAGGAAAGAATTTATAGGAGGAGGGTTGTAAAGTGAGGAAAGTTTGGTAGTGGGAATTTTCTAAATGCCAACTCTAAGTACAGCTATTTATTAGTTAACTCAATGACACAGACACATTAATAGATTATTATATTTACGTTACTAGACAATGACTCAACACAAACATGAAATGGATACACATCTCATCGTAAGTAACTCACCCTACGGATCACTCTGAAAATGACTCATGTGTGACCTGAGGGAGGCCCAGCGGCTGGGGGATGTGGCAGGTGATGCTGATGAGAGTGCTGGACTATATCTCCTATGGGAGACTCTGCTAGCTGGGGACTCGGTGTTGGGAGTGGGGAGGGGAGTCTCCTTCCCGACCTTGACTTTTGACGAGTGTGACTGAGTTCTGTCTCTCCCTGTCTGCTTCTGTCTCTGAGAAGGAGCTGTCAGCCCCTTCCCTGTTCTAATCGTAATCCCTCATAGAAGGAGCTGCAGGCTCTTATATTGGAGGTCACAAGCCAGAAGATGTTGTCACTAATCTGGGTGTGTCTGGCCAGGTGTACTGGCTGGAGGGTAGCTTCTTGAGTAACACGGTCATGTCGTCAGGTTAGCTAATGACTAGGCGGTGTAGCTAATGACTCGGCGGTGAGAATTCTGGTTCATTTTGACCGTGACCTCTCTTGGGTCAGGTTTTAATCTCACTTCAATTACGAAGGGTGGGTCAACTTATGAGGGTGTACACACCTGCGCTTCCAGTCACTGCTATATGTGCTGTTCTTCTCTGGGCTGTAAGCTGTGGTCTGATAAACAATCATTACAGAGAGGTGCCAGTAAACTTCGCCCACCGCCTCCATCATCTCGAAAATTTTCTAGAATACCAGCTGATGCCATCAAAGTAACCAATAACATATTTTAGAATAGAAATGCAATATCATTACTGAGGTTATTTAATGAGCTGCCACACCCTTCTCGACACACTTGACTCCACACCTCGCTGTCCTCACTTCCAGCTCACTACAGCATCTTCTGATATTTTTTAGGAGAAACTACCAGAAGAACTAACCTGCTGCTACTAGTTAATTTCATTGTCAGCAGCAGCACTTGGTATAAATCCAAGACAAAAATTTATGATTATTGTTCAGTATTTCAATGATCAGTAAGTTAGGTAAGTAAATACTGTAATACAGTTTATCAAACTTGGAAAAGTTCATGATAATGTGAAGGTCATGTATGAAAATCAACTTCACATTAAGACAAACTTATATAAAAAAAAAAGACAAGTTTACAGGCATCCTCTTTAGAAGGATTCATAACTGAAGAGAATGGCATTGAGTATCAAAACTGTGTTGTTTTATAATGATCAAGTTCTTAAATGTGGATGTAATTTTCAAAATGGTTTATCACAGAGAGCAATACTGTACTAATGAGATGAAAAAGACTTCACAGATGTGAATCGACTGATCATGTCAAATGCCCACAGCGGTTGATCATAAGGAACCATGTGTCCAGCATTGCGAACCATTACTTGAATAAGACCAGGCACCTCTCTCACATACCCTGCAACCTTGCCATCCACACGCCATATTAGACGCGACGACTGCTTAAACTCGGCAGCGTTCTTCCACTGCAGGGAGTTGAGGAAGTTCTCAGTCAGTGTGTATGCAATAATTACATCTAGTTGCCCATTGTATATCAGTACACTGTAGTTATCCAGCAACTGCAAGAAAAAATACAGTTAACAAGAAAATCACTACAGTTATTCGAGAAGACTAAGTGTCACTGGACTACTATGTGAACAATACTGCTGATTATGGACAATACCTTATGACAGCCCAAACAAAACATTTGTTTTGTTTTGGAATGTTTTGTTTGGATAAAAGATTTCTTTTAACAAATTCCATTTCAATTTCACAAGCCTTTTCCCACAGCATGATGGGTGGTACTGGGCTAAATGGAGCAACAGAGCTAAATATAACCATACTCTATGGGTCTGTTGTGAAAGGGAACACCATAGAAGAAACATAAATTACAACAATTCGATATGATGAATGAGAATCTGAGTAGCTCTTTAATTCTTGACCGGAAAAATATTTCAACTCTGTTCAAAAAAATTTCAGCTGGTTTACTTTAATTGCTTCACAAAACTCAGCAGTGACCATCAGTAACTTAACTATAAACTAAGTATCATAAATTTGTAAATACCAGTGATAAAATGGTGTTAAATTCACCTTTGGTCATGATGTAAAGTGACGACAAAACACGGGAGATTATCAAGGATATTTGGACACAAGACACCAACAAAGATAAAAACACAAGGTTCTATGAGTAGACAAAAATATGAAAGAAAATTCCAAGAACAACTTAAATGTTTACATATTAATGTTGTGTGACAAAAAAAGGTTAAATTAATATGGTAAAAGTATCCAAATTTAAGCTTCACTTCATCACAAAATACACCAGTTGGCAAATGTTTACCTTTGACCTTGAATTCTGAGACAAATTTGACATTTCCAACTTTGTCTCATAATGACAAACAAGTTATTAAAAACACCTGTATTAATAAAAAGAAATTGTGTTCCAGAGAAAATAAAGTTAAATAAAAAAAATATAAAAAAAATGGACTCGCACCACAGTACAGGTAGTGTAGTCCACACTTATCACAAGGGATCCGTTCCTGAAAAGCCTTGTGACAATACGAAACAATGTTTTCCCTTAAGAAACAATGTACTGTATTGAGGTTGGGTTGTATTCCTGGCTAGTAATTCTGGGGGTGTTTGGGCTGATTTTTCATACATAAATGCAGGCTTGAGTCAGACAATAAGGTGCATATCTATACAATATACCAAATGACTACAATGCTTGCAAGTTAGGAAAATTTGAAATAAAGAATACATGAGGCTGTCAGAAAAGTTCAGTATGACATGGTACAAAATACTTGGAGGGAACAGAATACTGTACCACTTTGATGTCTGCAAAGCCACAACAGGAACTTATATTGAAAATAAACTTTTGAGTTCTTTATTACTGGTAGTATATCTTGCTTTTTTCTGTAGCTTTTTTTAGTTTTTTTCATAATCAATGAATAAAATTGGGAAGATTGTATGTCATCGCCCACACGTGCCCACATCCAACCTGTATATGTACATGGTAGGGGCATAAAAATCTTTAAAGTACTAAATGTGAACATATTTATGACCAGACTTGACCAACACTGGTATATTCAAGAGTCCATACATGCCCAGTACTTTGAGATATCAGATAGTGTAGGTAAACCAGTAGATCAAATGATTAAAGTATCATTTTAATTATTTAAAATGGAAATATAGCTTCTATAAAATAATCAACATCTCTGCAAATTAGGAAGACAGAAACATGAACTTTACTTCCTCAATCCAAGGTTTGACGCTCTTCATGATGTCTTCCTCTAGGTGGGTCTCAACTGCTGAGCCGTCATTGAACGTCAGGTTTCCAACATGGATGGATCGACGAACAGTGGGTTTATTGATGTACTTAGTCCAATACTCCATGTCCTGCAAGTGTATAGGAATATGTAAACACCAATTCTCATGCTAATCAATATTCTTTACAATACAAATACAGGTACCCCTCGCAATACGAATAGGTTAAGTTCTTGAAAACCATCCATTCGGTGAATTTTCGTTCAGCAAATAAAATAGCTTATGGGAAAATTAGGGTCCAGTTCCCCATTGACAAAAAAAACTCCAATATCTTACCCCAAAAATATGAAGTCAGTTAACGAACAACAAAAAACTTATCATATTTTACGGCAAATAAGATGCACCTTTCTGTCTGAAAAATGGCTAAAAATCGTCCTGCATCCTATATGTGAAGTTGCAGCCTCCCATAGGCTAATGAATCCCCTAGTTGTCATCTCCAGTATGCTAAATTCTACCTAACCCAACTCCAGAATTAAAAATGTTATTGCTTACTTAAACACATTACATTTTTAATTAATTAAAAAATAAAAATTACTGTAAATATAAAACCTGGATTTTTGACGACTGTACTGACGATGATAGCCCACGATGATGAACGTTCGTAAGGCAGACACCCAACTCTTTCGAGGTAGCTAAGCAATAACCATTTCTGAATTCTTACAAGCATTACGAGTACAATCTATTAATATCATACCTGCAGCATTTATTTTTAAATCTACAAATGAAAATTTACAGATAAACGTTCTTTTCACATTTGCATCAGTTAACATCGCTGGTGGCATTGCAACCAAGTTAGACTCGTCACTAACCACCAGGCTACTGGGCTAAGCTGTGAGGTATCATGGTTGTTTTTCAACTCATAATTTTGGGTAGATATAAGTGACTTCCCTCATTTATTTTTACTCAGTTACATGCACACACCATCCTACATACATATTGTGAAGAAAAAAAAGTAAAAGAAATAATTGTCATAAGGGCAAACACATAAAAGGATTATAAATTTCTTTGCACATGAGTTGGGTGGTGTTGCTAGGAAGATGAAGGAGGTAGCGACCCTGCTTGTCTGAGTTGCTATGGCTCAGCAGAGATTGATTGATACGTTTATTGAGTTACAAAAAACATTAATACATCTCAAAGGGATGAAGTGACATAAGTCATCCCCACCCTAGTCCAGGAATGTCCCTCTCAGGACTCACATAAAGCCCTAATATTTCATATAATCAGTTATATACATGCATAGTTATATTCTAGATGCAAAATTTCTATATTTCTTTAATATTTCATCTATTTCCTATTTTTAAACATCCACTCTATTAGCATGGGGACATTATTTATATGGGCATTTCTATATACATTAAGCAATGAACATTCCAGTATATAATGTGGCAGGGTATGGGATCTAGGTGTTCTACAAACTCTACATTCTTTATCCTGCTCACTTCTCTCAGCTCCAAGTTCCCAATAATATTTATATCCTAATCTTAACTTCATATACACTGAATCTTTCCACCTACTCCTATCTTTCCCATATGTAAATTTCGTGTTCATGAGAACATGATGGTAATGTTTCATTGTTTCACTTTTCTCGTATATTTCATTCCTTTTGATATTATCTTCTATTGATTGTATTTTCCGTAATTTGCTCCTTAATTGTTTCAAGATTTTAGTACATATTATGTCGATCTCAGCCTTTTCCGTGGCTCTTTTTGCTATTATATCTACTGCTTCATTAAGACCAATGCCTACATGTGAAGGGACCCATACAAATTGAATATTATGGCCATTTTTCCTTATTGTATTTACTAATTTTCTACATGTACCAATAATGTGTTCAAAGACTGGACTCCCACTGTTCAAAGAATCCAAAGCTGCCCTACTATCAACAAAGAAATATGCATCTTTATACATATTTACAACATTTTCCAATCCTACTAACATTGCATATAGCTCAGCTTGTGTTGATGATATAAAACTGCTCAACCGAAGTCCAATTTTGATGTCATCATTTCCTTGTTCTGTGTACTGTCTTATAAGGATCCCACACCCTACCCTGCCATTTGACATAACTGAACCGACACAATATACATGCAATGTGTTTATTTTAGGCAAATTACTAATCTTATTCCCATATAAAGCCCTTAACTGTCCTGGTTCATGTAATGATTTCTTCATTGTGAGAGGCACTATGTCTAACTCTACTTCTCGTTCTTCCCAGGGTGGATTCTTACAACTCTTCTGAACAGCTGTACACCAGTCTGCCAGATTACATTTTTTAATAATATTTACTAATCCATTCATGTATCCTCTCTTGCCTTGCCTGCAGAAGGTCCTTTTATCTTTTAAACCATCATTTATATCTTGTACAAATTTACCCCCACTGTTCCTTCTCATTAATCGAACTGCTGCAACTGTATTAATTTCATTGACCCTCTGTGAAATGCTCTGTAACCCTAGTTCCATTTTCATTATCTCAATCATTGCATTCTTTTGACACCCTAAAATTATTCTCATTGCTTCATTTTGCATGATCTCAAGCTTCTGTAGCCTTCCTTCACCAGTACAAGAGAGGACAGGTGCTGCATAGTCTATAAGTGATCTGGTGGTAGAAATATACATCATTCTCAGTATGGGTACCCCAGCACCTTTACCACAACATGCTAGAGCCTTCAAGGGCTGTAATCTTGCTCTACATTGAGTGAGGACATGATATATTTATGCCTCTTTACTTTCACAAGTAAAGCCAATATACATTCCTAAATGTTTATACTTTGACTCTCAACAATTTTTCCATTTAGAAAAACGGATTCAGTTCCTCTTCCTTTACATTCACACTTGGTTTTTTCTTCATTGATAACTAAGCCCATCTTTTGAGAAAGAACACTAAAATTATTTAATGCAATCTGCAAATTTTTTAGAGAGTTTCCTTGAAATAAGATGTCATCTGCATAAATGATGGTTACAACTCCTTTGGGATATTTGTGTGAGGCTATCTTGTTCATTAACACATTAAATAGCATTGGACTCAATACTCCCCCTTGGGGAGTGCCTACCTAGTTCAAGTGCTCTTTCCTCAGACAAACATCCCTGATACCATACACAGATTCTCCTTCCATACAAGCAGTCACCTATCCAGTGTAACAACTTTCCTGATACCCCTAGAGCAGCCAGTTCATTCATAACTACTTCACTGTGAGCTTTATCAAATGCTCCTTGTAAATCCACAAAAACTCTACATCTGTCTGCATCATTTGATAAACATTTTATAACACAGTCTGAAGTACATTTCCCTTCAAAAAAACTCAAATAAATTACAAGATAGATTTTCCCCCACAATATATACAAGCCTATTTAATAATACTCTCTCCATCACCTTGGAAAAACAAGATGTTAAAGACACTGGCCTGTATCCACCGGTTGCCTTAGGGACAGGAATAACTATCGCTTTCTTCCATTCTGTTGGTAATCTACCCTCTGTACAGCTCATGTTGAATAAATCTAATAATGGACTATTTTTCATACCAACTAAGCAGTTCAAAATTTCATAAGTTACACCATCTTTGCCTGGTGCTGTAGATTTTCCTTTTTTAACAGCATTTAATAACTCATCTTGAGTAATATCTACATCTGTTACATCACAAATATTTAGAGCTGATGAAATAAATCTTTTTCTTTCATTTTGCCACTCATCTAATGCTTCTATTGTCCTGTTAGGCAGGGAGGCAACACTAGCTGCTTTAGCCCATTTGTCAACCAGTTTATTAGCTTCTTCCTCTGGATGAGGATGACTAATAAAATTACTCCTTTTTCCTCTAATTTTGTTAATATCCTGCCATATTTCTTTGAGATTTTTATTCTCCCCAATGTGCTGTGCAAAGTCTTGCCAATATTTCTCCCTTGCCTCCTTCCGAGCCTGCCCACATATTTTGGCTATATCCATGAAGATTTCCCTATCTTCTTCTCCTCTACCATTCTTTACCCAATCTTTATGTGCTGCCCTTAACATTTATGTCCATCCCTTCAACATTTTGTCATTGGTATAGCAGTGTTTCCTAACCCCATGTGTCTTATCATTTATCTTTTTCTGTGTTGACTTAGTTAAATATCTTTCTATCTCCCCAACTAAGTCATTATAAAAGCTATCCATACAGACTGGTGTATAATTTCTGTATCATTTCTCTATATTTTGGGTAAACACTTCTGTGTCAGCCTTGTTTAGTTTCAATCTCTTCCTCCTACATCTCACCTGTCTCTTCCGTAATGGTAATTGAACATACACAACAAAATGGTCACTGACTAGCTCCCTTATTATCTCACATTCTCCCTGGACTCCCTGACTGCTTATCATGCAAGCATAGTCTAACCTTCCTCCTTTAATATGAGTCACTTCCTCATTTCCTAACAAGTAAGCATCTGGGTGATCTTGTAAAAATTGCCAAAATTTTATACCATTACTATTAATTCTCCCCATTGTTTCGAGTCTTGGATGTCGAGCATTAAAATCTCCTGCAGCCAAAGTTGAGTCCAAAAACATGCAATCTGGTAAGAAGTTGAGGTCAAAACAGACTCCAGAAATATACAAATTTGCTATGTTCAATTCTCCTTCCTTCAAATATAACTTTATACAGACACTTTCTATTCCTTGTACTCTACTCGGGCTTCCAACTAGTTCTGATGGTATGGAATTCTTAATGTATGTTGAGACCCCTCTTATACCTTCACCCGAATAGAGATGAAATCCCTTATATCCAGACAGTTTAAGCAGGTCGCCTTTCCTGTCCCCAGTCTCTTGAAGGGTAATTATGTCAATATCATTTTTAAGGGTAAAGTAATGCACATCTGTCACTCTATTTCGTAGACCATTAACATTCCAGGACATTATCTTAAGGCTAGCTAGATCCATGATTAATATTTACACATATTATATCCTTTCCAATCAGATTCTTTAAGAAGGCCCAATCCTCCTGCACAGAATCCCATTTCCTCAAAAGTTTTTCTTTATCAGCATCTTTACACTTTACCAACACATTTTTAAAACTTTCAGTTGTTGCTCCCTGCACTACACAATCCTTTATTTTCCTCTCCTTCCCTATAATACATATTTTAAGCACTGAATTTTTCAAAAGCTTGAGCTCTTCGCTTTCCTCTTTCCCTTCTAATTCTACATTATTGACAGCTTTGTTTTCCCTTTCTTTATTTATCACTGCATCAAGTCTTTTCTCTATCACTTCTATTTTCTGACCTAACTTTTGCAAAAGCTGAAACATCTTACGCACCTCTTCTCCCAGAATTTCTTTCACAGTTTTATCACTAACCTGGAGGGCTGCACCACTACTCTAACTTGCTACCTGTTTATTACTCTGTTTGTTCCTGGCATCAACAACTCTTCCGGCCACAAGCGCAGTCCTTATCCTTCTTGAATCTTCATGCCAGGCATTCTCAGGGATCACTGTCTCCACTGTCTGTGTTCTCTTGCTGTCTTGTCACTGTCAAACCACAGTGTACTTCTTCAGTGTTCTCTGAATAATTCCTTTGTTGGTCACTTCTCATACGTGGCCTCATCTCGCATGCAATTGAACTAGCATTGTGAGTTTTACCACAATTACAACAACAAGGCTTCACTTTCTCTCCTGCATTGATCTTGTCCTTACAGTTGCTAGATTCGTGCCTCTTCCCACAGAATCTACAATGTGGGTCCAGTTGACAGCTCCAGGCCTTATGTCCCCATCTGCAACACTTGAGACACATTATTGGTCCCTCCACATATAGTGCTACCTTCCTATACCCTGCTCCTGTGATGAACACTTTCTCTGGAACCTTTCCTCTCATTAGATGATTAGAGCAATAACCTGGCTTCTCTCTTTGCCCCTTATTAAATGCCTCTTGACCCAAACAAATCTTTCGTCATCCAATAAGTATTCTGAATCTAGTATTACAGGGTACCTGAAGATTATAACCTTTGTAAGTAGTATGTCGCTCTTCTCTGGCAAAACCATCAGTAATCCCTTGTACCCAACAGTTGTCAACATTTCCACAGCCTCCATGGTCCCCACTGTAAGATAAGGCTTGTGTGTGCCTTCTTTCAAAAGAGGCTCAAAGCTGCGATGCTCCCGTCCTAGTTGTACTGCCCATTTTAATTTTTCAAGGAAGGTCATCGGGCATGACTGAGGAAAAATTAATCTCTTCCTGACACGACCAACTTCACCTTGTGTGTGTTCTTGTCTGCTTCCTTCAAATTCCATACTTTGCTCTGTTGTTGATCCATTCTCCACTATCTCCTTTCTGTTATTTCCATTATTATTACCACCCACACACGTTTTTTGTCCTAGATTTTTTTGCCTCTTCTCCTCTCTCACTTCTCCGCTTTCACTGTCCTCTTGCCAGCTTGTCTCCCTCATCCTTTTAGAAATTTCTTTCTTTTTCACTACCTCTTGTTGTAGCTGTATTTTCTCACTTTCGAACTTCCCTTGTGCTTCATCACTCGTATTAGACTCATCACTACTCAACTCAAGGTCTTCAAGAACTTCGTCCAATACTATCTTTTCTTTACTCTTCCGTGCAGAGTTCTTGAGCGATAATTCACTTTCCATGGGGCAATGTTGACATCCCACAACACCCAGCCAGGAGTGAAGGGACCCCGAGCAGTTATTTTCGTGTGGTAAACAGTAAGTTCCCAACACCAAAGTTGCTTGACGATATTTATCTTATCCTCAAGTCCTTATACACAAGTAGGTAAGTCTATATATCCTTCAGATAATGTAATAGGCTCGAAAACATCCCAAATTTGGGAGCTAGCACTCACAGCTGTGTTTACCAGTGCCCGCGATTTAGCTGCATTTTTTATCTAAACTGTACACAAATTTTATTTGAAGTAAAATAATTGTTAAATAACATGAGCAAGGTAGGTTGTATGGTTTATGAATACTGAGAAAGGAGGTACAGGGAGTTGAGAGTTTGCTTCAGCCTTCTAACCATTACCTTACATCAGTGATATTCCGTATTTATTTATTTTTAATTTGTAATAGTTTTTCAGTATTTTGTATTAGTTTTGTATTTGTGATAGTAACACAAGAATCATCACTATAGTCACATCCCCCTAGCCTTCCCCTACCACTCCAGGCTATGTTATGGTTATTGGGTTAATGAAAAAAAATATATATATATATATATATATATATATATATATATATATATATATATATATATATATATATATATATATATATATATATATATATATATATATATATATATATATATATATATATATATATATATATATATATATATATATATATATATATATATGTTCATCTACCTGAAATTACAAGTTGAAAAAGAAGCATAACATAACTCACACCTTGGTAGGGAAAGGGTGAGGGGAGTGTGGCCACCCCAGCTGACTTCTGGGTGCGCGCGATTTGAATTTTTGCTGGGACCCTAATTCATATAAGCAGGAGAAGCCTACCGTAACATGAAAAAGAGGTGATAATTTAGAAAATTAGTATGAGCAAATTTTCTCATCTTGAACATTCGTATAGCTTGGGATACTTGTAGAATTTCCATGTAGTTGACCTTCTACTCTTACTATACAGTAATGTATTTACTCATTATATTTATGCTAGTAAAAAATACTAAACAAAAATTGTCACAACTCACCTGAGGCTCACCATTAGCGACGTAGTTAAAATAATAACTGAGACCCGTCACGTTGGTGAAGTACGATGGATAACCCGTCTTGTCTCCATTCAGAAGACTGTCAAACACCTGTCATGGGGCTCACTGTACAATATTACTACGCTAATAAAAGCCTAATTAAAAAAAAAAAATTTCACTTTTTAAATTCCAATAAAATAGAAAAACAATATTCATCTTGACAAAGTATTAAATATTTACAAAACAAAGTACAGTGATTGTGAAACAGCTTCTACAGAGAACACCAAAATATAATATCATTGATAAAATTTTCATATTCTGTATTACTAAACAAACTTGTTATGAAGTTAAATATCAAGAAAATGAGAAAGAAGAACTCTTGCAGAAAGACAGAAAAATTTCAAAGGCATCATTTGAGCTATTTCAGAAAATATTAAAATGTGGTAAAGTTGGTTAAGAATAAAACTTCCAACCACATATACTGTACAGTACTGAGGGAGGACAGTCATCAAATGTACTGTACCTCAAAGGCCTTGAGCCACTGATGCTGTTGTATATAGGAAACAGCCAATTCACTCTGCTGCTTGAAGTACAGCAGGACATTGTCATCAATCAAGCCAATGTTGTAGAGGAAGTCCCCATAGTCAGTCATGGTCACTGGATCACAAAGACCATCTCCTATTGCCATTCCTGAGCAACAAGAAAAAAGTAAATTCATATTTTACCATTAATTTACATTTGCTCTAAAACACCAAATGATGTATACAGAACATTTAAATAACAGAGATATACTGTGCCTGCAGGTGTTGGTGATGCTGTATGTACATGCTGCATGTATAGTACGTATAGTATTGCACTGTACCTCTTACCACTGTCCTCACACTATATTTACTTCTCCTGCCTTGTATATTTTTCTGTCACACCCTATGATTCAAGATATATTTCTTACTTATCAAATTGGAAGACATCCACAATAGCACACTGAGGATGTCACACCTACTGGTTTGTACACAGGAGTTCAATAATCTAGCATCAATAATCACTGAACATTGTGTAGCATGTCTAAATGACGAACTTAAATTCTTTGACAATTTTCCTAAACTTTGCATCAAATGAAAAGTTTGACATAAGTCTTCTATGTACCTGCACAGTGCATTAACTACCATATTTTACAGGGTATAAGATGCATATTTTTGTCTGAAAAATGGGCAAAAAAATCAGCCTGCATCCTATATGTGAAGTTGCAGTCTTCCATAAGCTAATGAATCCCCCAGTTGCTGTCTCCAATAGGCTAAATTCTACCAAAACCAACTCCAGAATTAAAAATATGATATTGCTTACTTAAACACATTATTAATATTTTTAATTAATTATAAATTAATTATTCTAAATATAAAAGCTGGATTTATAACTACTGAACACATGATGATAACCCGAGATGATTAACATCTGTACAGCAGACACCCTACTCTTCAGAGGTAGCTAAGCAGTAACCATTTCTGAATTCTTACAAGCATTACAGTCTATTAATGCCATACCTGAAACTTTATTTTTCAATCTACAAATACAGCATGCCCTCCAAATTCACGGGGGCTAGGTTCTCAAAATGGCAGTGAATTGCCAAATCTGCGAATAACATTTGCTGACGGGGGGAGGGGGTTACATTTTTACTTGTGCACAAAGAAATGTATATTCCTTTTATGCGTTTGCCCTTTGGACAATTATTTCTTTTACCTGATTATATATATATATATATATATATATATATATATATATATATATATATATATATATATATATATATATATATATATATATATATATATATATATATATATATATATATATATATATATATATATATATATATATATATATATATATATATATATATATATATATATATATATATATATATATATATATATATATATATATATATATATATATATATATATATGTGTGTGTGTGTGTGTAAACACATACGAATAAATAATAATCCTCTCACAAATAATCGGAAACAAGTGTATTATAAATATTGAGTCTACCCTCAAGTCTACTCCATGCTTTATGAATAACTTTTTAAGAAAAAACATATTTAAAATTTGAGTGAACACAAACATCTGACTTTCACACAGAATTGGACATAAATATAAATGCAAAAAATCCAACCAGTTTTAGAAATGCCAAAATATGAATAACTGACAAACCTTTCAAATTGATCTTCAGTTTTGCTGTAGGATTCTCCTTGTGGATGGTGTAGGTCAAAGCTGGAACATACTTCCCTGTGAAGGTAAATTACACGTCACAAAATAATATACACTATAATTATTTAAAACTTAAATAATGACATCATCATCAGCTTGGCAAATCATGTGCCATAACACCTTAAATTATCTTATGAATTTATTTGTACAATATTACCATTACCATATAAACTATTGATACACTTTAATTTTTCACATGATATTCATACAAAAACTTATTTCGAGGATGAATAAAACATGTTTACAGAATTAAAATGTTTTCTTCTACTACTATATAGTACTTACTCATATTTCCCTTACATTTTATTACCAGTTCAAGTCTTTTTGGCAGGGATTCTACTAACATTTGAAAATACTCTCCATCCATCTCAAACTCCCACATGCGCTTGATTTCCTCATGTAGCCGATGTACAGTTGATGTGTCCCATGTTGACAGCTTCCAATTCATCTCGTGCCATACATTCTCGATGGTGAGTTCCCAGGCCACTACAGCAATGGAATAGTCCTTTCATGAATCCAAGTTGTCATACTTTTTGAGCTGTGACGGAGGGCACCGTCTTGCATGAAGAATGTGGACTGGTGAAGTCAATAATAATCCAATAAATGCTTTTCCAAGACAGTCTTGTAGCGATCAGAGTTCATTGTCGTGTTTTGGGGAAGGAAATGGAGGCCAGCACAACCACGTTTCCCACTGAACGCTCCCCACACCATCACACTTGCAGGATGTTTCACGGTTTTAATGGTGTAACAAGGATCATACCGGCTGGTGTTGGTGGGCCTTCTGACTGTCCCTTTCCCTGTAGTGGTGGTATTTTCTTACAAAAGCAGGCTGCTGACGGTGCATTCGGTCTGTGCAGCTTGATGGGAAGGCAGATGAAGTTCCTTCTGAAAGCGATGTTGAATTGTTTGTTCTGATACATTTTGCAGGATGGGGGTGTGCTTTCTTCAATTGTGATGCACTCATACAGTATTAGGATCTCCCATTACCTCAAGCCTCAGTAGTGAATCAGTTCATTTGAAGGTCTTCCTCGGTCTTTCTGGTGAAAATTTCCTTGGTCGAATAACATTGCTGGGATGGTTGTGTGTCGATCGCATGAGCCACTTAATTGTTGCCATTCCTAGTCCTGTTCACCTTGAAATTTCTTTCAGTGACTTTTTCCTCTAGCAGGACAAGGATTCGACCCTTCTCTGCCTTAGTCATGTTTTTGGGAGCTACGAGTAAAGTTTTGAAAGAAAATTTTGAGCTAATTGTGGGTGTGTCTTAATTTGCACTCATCAGCTTGGTGAGCGAAAATTAACGTTTACCCGGATCGATAGCAAGTGGGGCACTGGCCAAGTTTCTCCCATTTCTAGTCGTGCGGGAAATGCCGGAGAGTTGCCAGATGTTATATATTCCCGTCATGACAAATTTGGTGGGCTACTTTTCACGTGGTGAAAGCATGTATATAAACACAACTAATTATGCAGAGGGGATTAATAGTGCCTCCTCAACACACAACCACATTAAGATACGGTAGATACCTGTACAGTAATTCAACAACAAAATCCACAAATTTGGTGGTACAGCACAGTGGTTATGTGCTTATCTATCAAGACTGTATCCTGGGTTCAATCTCTGGCCTGGGACAGATATGAGAAGGGGATTATCCACTGTAACACTATCCAAACATGGCAGGTTTCCTCTGGGTACTGCAGTTTCCTCCTGTGCTAACACTAGATAATAAAGGTCATAACAAAGTAAAACAAAACAGACCAACTACCAAAACAACTAATAAGGTGATAAATGGTGAATTATTAATAATAAATTCCCTCATACCTTCATGCTGTGTATGACTAAACTTTCTACCCCACTGACGGCCAGCCTTCACATCTACTCTCACTCCTCAACCTCAAGTACCCAGTACAGTATCTGCCATTTGCTCATATATGAATCATCTTTTTTTATTAAGCTATTCCTTTCACATTATCGATTTCCTTCTTCCACAAATTATAAACCCTGATGAACTTTTTATATAACAGTATACAGAAGTGACAAAGCTTGGTATTATTTCAAAACTTGACTATCAACTCTACCAACACGTCCAAATATAATTTAGCTCCACAAAATTGTTCTCACACGCGACACAGCATACTCATTTGGGTTTCTGTACCTTCAGTCCTGGAACACAAACCATAGATGTTTCTTACATGGCCTTTAAAATAGTATTCTGGATTATATGCTATGTCTTCATCCCTCTCTAAGATTTTCGAAACTATCTTGAACTGCCATTTTCTCCGTCACCTTGAACGCCTTTCTCTTTTGTCGGATCACCAGAATGGCTTTCGCCAGGCGAGATCTATTGGTGATCTGCTCTCCTATTGCACCCATCTTTGGTCATCCTCTATTAGGGATTATGGGGAAACTTTCGTTGTGGCCCTCGACATCTCCAAAGCATTTGACAGGGTATGGCACAAGTCTTTGCTTTCTAAACTTCTCTCTTATGGTTTCTCTCCCCAACTTTGTTCTCTAATCTCTTGCTTCCTTGAGAACCGATCCATGGCAGTTGTTGTCGAGGGATCGACCTCTTGCTCTTCCTCTACCAGTAGTGGTGTCCCACAGTGTTCTGTTCTTTCACCTACTCTCTTTCATTTTTTTATAAATTATTTACTTAACACTACAACTAATTCTATCCATTCTTATGCTGATGATTCTACTCTTCACTCTTCTTCACATTTTCCCCTTCATCCTAACTCTCAAACTAGATCTGTTTCTAGAACCGATATCATTACTTCTATCAATACGGATCTGTGCAGCATCTCTGAATGGGGAGGTACAAACTTGGTTAATCTCAATTGTAATAAAACTCAATATTTACCAATTACACTTTGTAAATTAGACGATCTCCCACCAATTATATTTCAGGACGCTATCATCCCCCCAAATTCTGAAATAAATATGATAGGCCTCACAATTTCCTCCAATATGTCCTGGAAATCACACATCCTTAATATAGCTAAAGCTGCCTCCCGAAAGTTAGGAATGCTGTACAGTTGCCGTAGCTACTTCACTCCTGAGCAGTTGCTCCAAGTAAATAAGGGATTCATTCGTCCTAACTTGGAGTACTGCTCTCATATCTGGGGTGGCTCCTCTTCTGTCCAACTGAAAGATAGGGTGGAATCAAAGGCATTTCGTCTTATTAACTCTCCTCCTCTAGTCAACAATCTCTCTTCCCTTTCTCTTCACCGCAATGTTGCTTCACTCTCTCTCTTTTACAGGTACTTTAACGGGCAATGTTCGGTGGATTTGGCGTCCTGTGTACCGCCGGTAAGGCCGTGGGCTCGTAACACACATCTTGCCCGCGGTGCCCACCATTTCTCTGTGGATGTCGGTCACACGAGAATAACCCGTTATAGTACCTCCTTCTTTCCTCATACAGCCAAACTGTGGAATGCTCTGCCTTCTTCTGTTTCCATACTCATACAATCTGTCTCACTTTAAAAGGCTGGTTTTCCGGCATCTTCGTGGTGTAGATTAACACAGTACATATAACCTTTTCAATTTCTTTCTGTTCTTTTTTTTCGCCACCCAGGCCCCGTTGTGGGCCGTTTGACCTGTGCCCAGGTGGGCTAATTCCCGTAAAAAAAAAAGTCATCCTTTCTGTTTTTAACATTTTTCCTGTTATCGTTCTCAAAATAAATATCCTAATTACTTTCCTTGAAACATGCACATTCATATCTTCTGCTTTTATTATAGTGCAGTACGTACTAATAAAATAAGGACACAGCCCCAACAAATCTTTGACCCACAGGTCCTACACCAGTGACTGTGGCCCAACAGTCAGTTTGCTCAAGTCTTACCAGCATAAGATTCACCCGTGACAAAGAAGTCATTGCGCTGCAGCTCCGGGAACAACATGAAGAACTGCAGAATGGCAGCGTACAGGTCTCTGCCTACATCTGTCTGGTTTCTGGCATAACCAGCATCATCTCTTGTGAAGCTGAACCCTGGTGATGAACAACTCACTCACTACACTGTGCTGTACTGTACTTACCATTAACAACAACAAAATATCTGAATCAATCTTGAAAACTCTTATTAGAGTATCAAAACTATAAACATTTTCACCTAAATAAGAAAGACAACCAGTAAAATTTTTTACCATATATTTATATACAAAACACAATGATAAAGTTGAAATTACCTTGAGTTTAGGATTATTAACGATTCTAATCAGTGTGCAAAGGTCCTAACAATAACAGTATCTTTGAAATATATTTGGTAGTGGTGCTGGTCCTCCTACACATTAATTCCCCTAATACTAGTAAATATGACAAATTTTGTGACAAGAGGTACCGGTATGGCCAGCATAAGGACAGAACCAGACAATGTGATGTAGTTGTGGCCAGAATTAGGCTAGGATACAGACACACCTGGCAAGTTAGTAACGCTGTACTCATACCGGAACACTCAGCATGTAAACTTTGTGATAAACCTTTAAAGCATACACTTGAACACTATATTATTGAATGTGACACTGTCAAAGACTTCAGGCCACCTGACTTATTGTATCTTGAAATTTGTAATTACTACATTGAATCAGGGGTGCTTGAGGACATTCTTGCTGTTTATCCCAGATTTGCTAGCCCACACTGATTAGTCTTCAATTAGAATATGACTCCAATGTATGTGAACCACTGACCTATATATACTGCTAATGAATATGATGTATTTCTTTCTTTGTGTACGAAACTCTGTCCTGCATGGCAGTGAACAGTGACATTACCCACATGAATCTGACCTATATATGGTGTAAATGAATATGATGCATTTCTTTGTGTACGAACCTCTGTCCAGTATGGCAGTGAAGAGTGGCATTACCCACATGAATCTGACCTATATATGGTGTAAATGAATATGATGCATTTCTTTGTGTACGAACCTCTGTCCAGTATGGCAGTGAAGAGTGGCATTACCCACATGAATCTGACCTCTATACATACTGTATATAACTGTTAATGAATATGATGTATTTCTTTGTGTATGAACCTCTGTCCTGCGTGGCAGTGAGAAGTGATACCACCCTCAGTGTCAAGACCTGACTGAATTACTCAGAATAGGCAAACTGTACTACAAAGTTTTGTCAATAAATTTGTTAAACGAAAAAAAAAAATCTAATACTGTGGACCACATTCTAAAATTTACATTTCTCCAAAGAGTTGTGAATTGTACTTAACATAAGTACAGTCACCCACAAAAATCCTGTTGCCTTTCCTCCTGAACCATGAACCCCAAGATTCAGAATTGTGAATTAGAAGCATTTCTGGACAGAATAATGAATCAATGTCTACTGCTTCGGGTTTACGAGTCAGAATCTCAGGGTTCATGAAATAGCAAAACAGGCATCAGGAGTTTTGGTGACTGTACAGTGGAGTAAAATTCTAAATATAAATTTAAAAATCATATGGTCTGAGTATCAACTTAATGAAGATAAAAAAGTTGAGATTCATATCAGTCAATACTGATACAGGTACTGTATCTTATTTATTGACAAAAAAAAAATATTACTGCATTATTAAACATTGTGAAAAAAGATGGCAGGGAATTTTTTTCTTAAATTTTATGATAATTATTTACATGTTACTGTATTCTAAAAAAATAAAAAAAATAATTAACATAAATCAGAATTTTAAATATTCTATATGTATTTAATTATTTCATAGCTCATTAACCCCGAGGCTTTGGTCGGCATACCAGCCCTCACATAGGTACAGTATATTTGAGAATATTTAAAAGCAATCCTAGTCTTACAAACTGACCATGCATGATATAAACAGGAAATAAATAAATGACCTTACCACAGGTTGGCAACACAGGGGGCTAGGAAGAATCGAGAATGTTGGTGAAGTGGCGTGTGTGATGCAGTAGTAACGAGGTAAACAACACTAATTTGTAGGCAGCATGAGGTGGTACAGGACACTTATTTTACTATGTTATTACTATTTACACTATTAACAATCATTATTACTGCTCCAGTAATTGATCACAATACTAGACTTGTGCTTGGGGGTTGAGGGGTAGAAACACATGGTGGAGTCCAAAGGTGAGATTCCTACATCACAAAAGCTGAGAAGAGACTGGGGGGCTCTCATGTGTTAGTGAGTAAAAGATAAATACCTACTTGGCAACATAATCTAGCCAGGCATACCCTTTTTATTCAAATAGGCCCGCCAAAGATCAAAATGTCAAAATATGATGTGACCCGAAGCTATACAATACAGACACGCCATATGACGTGACTCGAAGCTTTTCGGTTAAATAACACTAATTATTTGAATTTTAACATTCTGAACCCGGATCCTTAACCAGCATGTAAAAGAGTACGTACCTACATATGAATTTTAAACAAAATCCATGTTTTGACCTCATATGCTGAAACTATGGATAATAGATCAGTCGTCATTTACATGATAAAAACCCCTTTTTCTGGAAACTGAAAACTAACATGTTTAAAGGGTAAAGATAGTCTATATTACTGAAAAAATTTATATAAAGGGGATTTAAAATTTACGAGGACAGCATAACTGACGTTTTAATTAATCTCTATGTCAAGGGTGGCCAAAACGTCGATTGTGATCAACTAGTAGATCACAAAGCAATTTCTGGTCTGGTAGATCACAGGATAGGTAGCCTATCAATAGGGACCTTAAAGGTACAGTACACAACCCGTCCATAGTTAAAAATAAATAAAATAATTTTTTTTTTTTTATACCCAACATTCATGGCATCTTTTGTCTTTGCATCTACCCATCATTTAGCAAGGAAGGACACATTAAAAAAAATTGGGGAAATATTTAATTAATATGTCACAGAAAATGATACCACTAACATAAAAATCTGCCAAAATTTCTCTCTCTCTCCATTAAGACTCAAAATCTATCCACTGTATGCTAGAGGTTAGGAAAAATTGTGCTAGTAGATCATGTTTGGATAACCATGAGAAAAGTAAATCCACTCACACAAAAGTCTGACCACCCCTGCCCTACGTATTTAACCCTCTGATGGTAGCGGGGTGATTGAGAAAGCACCCAAATAAAAAACCTGTCTCTATACAGATGCAGTTGACTGATTATGTCCAACATAAATAATGATTCACTTCATAATGAGACATCTTAACACCATCTATAAATAGACTACCACAAAATAAAGCCACTGCAAAATTTTTACTGGATCATCTATCCGACCTGTATACTATCATCATCAACATATTCGTCACTTGATTGTATATACTATACGTATTCTGGATCTTCTGTAATCTCAAGCTACGATTTATTATCACTGCCATCACTGTCCTTTGCAGATTCTATATCATATGTATTATCATCCATAAATTCATCAATATCCTGTACTATCAGTTGTTGATCGCAATCCTACAAACACTGTTTGTTACATGGCCAATGAGAACCATTCCTTTCTCATTCTCAGCAGCTGTTTCATGGTCAATGTGAACCAACAACCATCCAGTGTTCTTAACCTAAACAAACCTTTGTTACCATAGTCTCAGGTTGTCATGTCTAAGGCTCACCTGTGCCTGCTGGGTTATCAATATAGATGACATTGTGGTTCTTGGTCCAGGAGGTGTTGCGGGGTACAATGTGCAGACTGGCGTCAACGTTGAAAGGTCCGTGTTCAGCAAACAGTCCAAAGAGGGAGGAGCCACCAGGTCCCCCTTGTAGCCACACCATCACTGGGGCATTATCTGCTCGAACCTAGGATACACACATCTAAATATCACTACAGTACAGTATTTGGCAACTGTGTATGGAATTCCACTACCTCAAGTGGCAAAATATGAATCACAAAAATGGAAATGTTGAACTAAGGCACATAAATGTGTTGACGGAGGAACTATATTAGCTCCTCTGCTCTTTGATCATAATACAAATCTAGAACTAATACAAGAACTACATACACAAAATTAAAATTGTGTTGTATCATTTCTCTGCTGCAGTATCAGTTTCAATTTCCTTTATAATATTACAAATTCTTATATTCATCACTGCTATGAGTGAGTGTGTGAATCCTTACCCTCGCTGGGAAGAACCAGAAGAAGAGGTTTGAGTCATATTTCTTGTTGACTGTTAGGAAGCCGGAGAAGCTGTGTCCATAGCGGTGGCCAAGACTCACACGACTCAGGGATCTCGCTTCCTGGTGAGTGTGGTGGTAACAGTGATTACCAGATAATGAAAGACAATTGTTGACCATTGTTTAAAACTAAAAGGTATTCTTTAAAGTTTATAGTGACACATACATACATATGTGTATAAAAAACACGCGTGCACGCACACACTAGAATGTCAAGGGTCATGTTCCTGGAAAACCTCATAAATGCAGATACAGTACTTGAATTAACTGAGATAAATAGGGTTAGGTTTTCAGATCAGACTGAATATAAGGGGAGATTTATGGTGCAGTGGAGGGGAGGCCCTTACCACAAGTACCAGACACCCTTACTGCACCACTGTGTGGGGGTTATACTTTTACTTCTTCCAGATGCAAAGGCACAACTGACTGGTGAGGCAGGGTGTACAGTAAACAATGCACATCTTATAAAAAAGGCTAAATCTTAAAATATTTCCACAATCATCAGTGAGAACAACCAACACAACCTATCAAGTCTACATAAAGACAACTAATATAAAGCTTTAATTCAATAAACTAATTACAAGAACTTCAAAAATGTATAATTCAATGTTGGCAGAGATTTTTACATTATGTCTCTATGATGGATGAATTATATACGTACTAATTTATGAAATATTCCCTTTCATAAAAATACTGTAGTACCAAAGTTATGATAGGTATAAACACCATACTGTACTGTAACCAGGTGAGGCAACACAATGCACTACTTACACAAGTATAAACAACTACCGGTACAGTATATAAAGAGTGAACTCTTCCCGCATTAATTTTCTATTACTTTACATAACAACACACACATACTGTAAGGTATTACAGTAATCTCATACCTTAATTTTACCAGCTTCAAGAAGTGGAGTCAAGAAGAGAGGTTTACCAACAGACTCCCAGGAAGACGATGGGACGGTCAGGTCACCGTGGTCAGGAAACATCTTACGGAAGGGTCCACGAGCCTGAACCACAGCAGTGGCCACAACCAGCACCACCACACACCTCATGATGTCTTATTCACTGTTTCAATCTGAAATGTTGTTTTTTATATATAAAATATTCAAACAGTACAAGATATAATCTCAGTTAAACTATATCATTACATAATTACTGATTACTGTATATACTTGTGCATAAACCGATCCCCTGTGTAGTTTGATCCCTGAGTTTTTCCTATACCTCTTGTATAATTCAACTCTAGCTTTTGATAAATACTAGGTACAATATAATCATAGAAATATTTTGTAGCAAGACACCGGATTTACACCAATGCATCTTGGCCGTGATCACAACCACAACAGCTGGTGCTACGAACAGTGTTACCAATCTTCATTAACCTAACATAACCTAGGTCACAGATGGTTGGCGCAGAGAATTATCGAAAGTTCAGAGGGGTTGGGACGGGCAAGGAGTGACCTAGTTGAGGTGTATAAGCATCTCAGGGGGCACTAATCAGTCGAGTGTCCTTACTTGGAGCTGGCGGACGCTCGCCCCACAAGGGGTCACAGATCAAGATTGAAGAAGCCGCAAGTCCATCCAGAAAACAGTGAGGGCAAACTTTTTCGGAGTGACGGTTGTAAACTCTTGGAACAATCTACCCCAAAAAGTTTTGTGACAGCACCGAGTGCGAGCTCTTTCAAGACAAGACTTGACCAACACTGGAGCAGGTTCAGGTACATTCAGGAGCCAGTGCATGCCCAGTATTTGCCAACAGTGCGTGACAGAGATGTGACCGATCGCCCGGGCGGCTAGCGAGGCGATCTTTTGGTGAAGAGGATAAATGAAAAGGAAAAGTAATCAGAGACGTGACCGATCGCCCAAGCGGCTAACGAGCCGATCAGTGGCGAAGAGGATAAAAGTAAAAGTAATAACTTTCCCCGCTGACAAAAACTGACTTCATAAAAAAAATCACTTTCAGGTATTAATCATTAACATAACACATTACCTGTACAATATTTCCGAAATTGATCATATCACCCTGCCTCTAAAAATACTAATGAGGAATGTGAATGTAACTATACAGTCAAGGTCCAAATATTAGCCGAGGTGGGATTTAATCATATCTATTTGGCAATGGATGTTTTACTGTGACCGGCTAAGTTCCAACTAATGCAATTTTACCGTAAGTGCACTCTGGTAGGCTAATCGTCCAATACCGGCAAACAATGCGAGAACAATATGTAACCGTGACTTGGGCGGCATTTGACATTTATTTTGCCTTGAGTCGATCGTTGTGTAGCTGTAGACATACCTAACTATATTTCTGTTGTGCATGGAAACTTATTATAAAAGAGGCTACATTTACTTGAACCTAATAGAACCTGACCTAATCAAAGAAACCTATCTAACCTTACCTAACTTCCCAGCCTGGGTGAGAGGGATCCCGATCATATGAATACTTAGTCAATCAGAGCGCACTCTCGGTAAAATAGTGTTAGTAGGAACTTGGTCAGCAAAGATGGTAAATTTTTCTTTAGGACATGAGTCCCAAGGGGTTGACCAATATGTTTTTCCAGAGTATTTTGGTGTGTTTTAAACGAATCCGACCTCCCACTCTGCGTGTTTAAAAAAAAAGAACTAGCTTTAGAATTTCTTTACATCTCATGGTGTTATCCCGACCTCAGTAAAGTGTCCCAAGTGTAATAAGGAGTCTAAATATCGGCAAGACTAATCAGCGTCAGCAATCTGTACCAATCTCAGAATCCAAAGACGAACCAGAACCAGGCCAATAAGGTAAGAAATAAGTGGTTCCATCATATGGTGAGAGTTAGGTTAGGTCAGGTTATTTTAGGTTATATTAGGTCAGGTTAGGTTTATACTTTTTACCTTCTAACAGAGTTGTGTGTACTAACGCATATTTACCTTAAGTTCTTTCAACGGTGTACGTAAATAATAAATGATACATTATGCCGTCTTCAACAACATAAAGAACGCCTTTTAAAGTTTACTCCATAATGTACAAAAGATCTATTTTGTCATGATTTACCAACTGACACATGTAAAGTTAAATATAAATTGGTGTCGAAAAATCAGTGATAATCACTAAACTTAACTTATATTAAAGTTACATCAGTGTTGTAGGCCTGGACCCTCCACCTCACACCCGGTCACTCAACTAATGCCAACATTTTTTTTCAAACTCTTTATGCATTTATTGTTATTAAACTATTTTAAACCTTCATAGCGATATATCCAAAACATAATAATGTATAATTACACCTTTAAATAACTCTTACCAACTAATAAGTTGTCCTCTCCAATCTTGTTGTCACATCACCTGACTGACCGGCTGACGCGCCTCTGTTGTTTACCTTACATGATGCTGGAGGACCACCACCAAGTTCACACCTTTTTTTTTTTACTGTTATCCTTACCACTGATCGGCTTGTTAGCCGCTTGGGCGATCGGTCACTTCTCTGTCACGCACTGTTGGCAAGTGCTGGGCATGCACCAGCTCCTGAACCTGCTCCAGTGTTGGTCAACTCTGGTCTTGAAAGAGCTCACACTCGGTGCCGTCACAACACTTTCTGGTAGATTGTTCCAAGAGTTCACAACTCTCACTCCGAAAAAGTTTGCCCTCGTAGTTTTCTGGACCTGCGGCTTCTTCAACCTTGAGCTGTGACCCCTTGTGGGGCGAGCGTCCGCCAGCTCCAGGTAAGGACACTCAACAACGAGTACTAGTAGTGCCCCTTGAGATGTTTATACACCTCAACTAGGTCGCCCCTAGCCTGTCTGTTGTATAAGCTCGGCAAGTTCAAGCGCTCCAATCTCTCGGGTAGTTGAGGTGCCGAAGTACAGGCACCACCAATCTGGTGGCCCTCCTTTGAACATACAGATGAAAGCTTAGGTGCTCCATTGTTTCCCTTTATCCTGTGTGATTTTATTAGGATATCTCATCCACGTTTTCATTGTGGATATATATATATATATATATATATATATATATATATATATATATATATATATATATGCAAACGTGGATAAGATAAATCTTGATAAAATCACACAGGAAAACAATGGAGCACCTTAGCTTTCGTCTTTATTCAAGACATCTTCAGAGGCAACTGAATTACAAGGACTGAAAGAGGTGAGCTTACAAAGCATGAGGTCAGGTCAAAAACATGACATCCACTAATCCACACACCACCACTACCGCACACACAAGAGGAGCTTATAAGATAGGGCGACGTAACTAATCATATTAATTTTGGTTAAAAATATGAGACCCACTATTCATCTACCTCAAATGCTTTCAAAGCTCCTTAACCATGCATCCAAATTGAGAGAGACCATATTTGACTTAACTAAACAAGGTAGTTAACTACAGTATTCATCTACACATGCAGCCATGTGATGTTTTTATTCATAACCATCGTACCATTCTTAGTATATAAAAGAAAGATGAAATTAAAATTAAATTACTACTTCAGATGTCCCTCATAGACACAAAGTTTATTATCTAGGATGTTAGCATCATTCTCTCACTACAGTATATTATTTATCACATCACCACTTTTCAGGTCACTAGCCATTTGGGCAGTTATTCTGTGAGTACAAGAGGAAACTGGAGTACCGGGAGAAAACCTGTCATGTTTGGTAGAGAGGGTCACACTGGATAAAACCTTTCTCACATGTCATAGGACAAGATTGAACCTAGTACACAGTTGGGAGAAATATGCACATTACTACTACACTACTGTACCAACACCCCATAGTATTAATCAGTTCTATATTGGTATCTATACTGTGCGATGTGATACACTAGTCACTAGGAAACATGTCCAGTTGCACTTTATGGGAAAGGAAAAAGTAAATTCATGGGTTACAAAGTGCTCTATCATCTACTGAACATACAATGAACCTCAGCTGCCTCTCTCCAGTTACTACATTATTCTAATATGGACCGTGGTCTTGTCTTTCACTTTTATGATAATAAAAAATACTACAATGTCACTATTAATACATTTTATTTTCTGAAAAGAAATAATTCCTTCATGCATCTGTACATATGGCCTGATGTTTTTAAGATAAAGCAAAACAATTGATCACTGAACTTTTGTTACTGAAATAATGTTGTAACAGGTATAGTCAACTACTGAAGTTAGATCTCCTTTCTTTCCCTGAACCACAAACCCCGAGTTTCTGACTCAAGAACCTGATGCAATAGACTGATACATTATTCTGTCAATAAATGCTTCCGATTCATAAGTATGAATCTCAAGGTTCAGAGGGGAGGGGAAAATGCGAACTGTACAGTAATCTACTGCCCTTTAACAACCAAGATCTTTTACTGGGTAACAAGACTGGTAATTACTTTACACTGGCCAATCAACAATCAATTACAATGTTAACCTTAAGGGTCCAAGTCTTTTTTATGCTAGAAAGGGAGAGTTTTGCCAAATTCTTATTAAAAAAAAAATGAAGCATTTACGAGCAATATCAATCCCTTTATCTATTAATGACATTTGTTCCTCAGATGGTTGCAATGCTTCAAATAATATTCCGAAAAAGATAGATTTTTTTATGAAGCTGCCCAGTTCGTGACACGGTGGAACAGGCAACTGGATCCAACACTATATTTAGAATATAAGATGTAAGTAAGACCACCTACCATACCTGATCCTGTAGCTACTGCATAAGGTATAGAGGAAGGCCGCCTTAAGACTCGTGTGCTGGATGCATATTGAACAAAAAATGTAAGAAGAATTTGTAACCAGTATTTATCATGTAATTCGTATAAAAAAATTAGTGACCAAAATACAGAATACTGTAGTCACTAACATTATTCTGAAAAATGTAAGTCAGTCGATATATACTGTATATAAAAAAAGGTTATCTTCACACCATCTAATACCTGATAATTCTTCATATAAATCTCTATGATTATCTATGAATTACCACAGTTTAATCTGGAGCACACAACTGAAGTGAGTAATGTCAATATAGGACAAACTAAAAACGTCACACCACTTGCAAACAAAACAATTGAATACAAGTTAACAAGATTTCCACACAAGTGAATGCCTCCCCAACTTAATTACCGAAATATAAATTTAACACACATAGTACTTCAATACAGTACAGATAATAACTTTGATCACTTTATTTTTTGGCTTTAAATATCTTTTCTACCATCAATTATCATTCAAAATATAAACTTGTTTCTCTCATTTTCCTCCACTGGTTGCTACTTTTACGGTAATTCTTTAAATCCTCTAATAATTGTCAAAAAATAAATGGTGTGTTGTCATGTATCTTTGGACCACTGATTACTATTTCCTTATCATTTATCTTGTCATTTGCCTTTTCCAAAGTATTGTATTCCTGGATTTCATTTATGCAAAACCAAAAGAAGTTCTTCATCTATCCAGTCTGGATTCCCAAAGGTTCATAATTTAAACACCATCTCTAACTGAAGGGGTGAGGACCCATCTTTCTCACTCACCTATATCACAATGACGGTGGTAACAAAACTGGCTCCACCCTTAACCAACAGCCGAGGATTCCTACTCTGCCCCATATGATCAAAAATAGAATGCAAGCAATTGATGATGGCCGCCATCAGTACAGCTAACTTTTACTTATGATGGCCGTCTTCCCTACAGCTAACTTTTACTTATGATGGCCGTCTTCCCTACAGCTAACTTTCACTGATGATGACCACCTTCCCTAAAGCTAACTTTCACTGATGATGGCCGCCTTCCCGACAGCTAACTTTTACTGATGATGGCCGCTGTCCCTACAGCTAACTACCACTGATGATGGCTGCCATTTGAGAGTTAACATTTCACCATACAGATTTTAATTTATTCTTAATTTCTTGATGTTGAAAATGAAGATCATGAAAAATAACTAATTACAGCTGTATCTCACCTATTGATTTAAGAACTTAAGCCATAAACCCACCAGCCTTACATTATTCTTATCTAACAGCAAGACCAACCAAAGATACCCAAACCAATTCTGCATTTTCGATATCAAATACTTTAGTGTGTGTGTGTGTGTGTGTGTGTAGCAACATACAGTACATATAATAAAAGTAAGACAACGTGGGGCTCTGTTCCACAAACAATATCTACTGCTGAAGTTCACTGGTACACCAAGTTTCACACCATCTAGGGTAATTCATTGTATATCAGCGATCCCAAATACCATTTTTGGCTCTTGCAGATTCTCCAGCCTCTAACAACAATTTCTCTCGGGATAATTCATGAACTAATGAATAATTATCAGGTGATAAATAATCTCTCTAAACTAAAAACAAATTCTTACAAAAATATTCATCCTCTCCCTGTGTTAAATAACTATATAATTATATACCGGTAGTCATGGTTAATTACTAAAACCAGAAAAAGTTAATGTAAACTAGAAAACTTACACTGAGGAAATCACAATTTACAGTACATCCTTATTCTACAAGGAATGATCAAAGCAGAATACTGTACTGTATTCTAAATCCCCCCAAATTAAGAAAACATTTAATTTCCAACTTTTTAAACCCAACAAAGTACAGTACAGTATATATTACACATGTTACAGCAAAGCTCTAACCAAAAGAAGCAGCAATATACAAGACAAAGTTATTACAGAGATTACATACCAGGTTAGTTGCTAGAGCAAAGGGGGGGGGGTACCTATATGACTAGACAATGAGGTCTACTAATCACTCCCAGTCTTTATCTATGGTAGAATATAGTGTGGTCCCTCGGTTAACGATTTACCTTCCATAAGATTCTTAACTTCGGTTAACGAGCAATCCCTCGATTAACGAGTTTCTTACGAGCCGACTTCAACATGTTTTCGCTTGCATTTGGCGGTCCACCAGCTGTAGTATTAGTCCGCCAATACAGTAATCGGTTTTAGGGCTTAAATTCCTTACTATTTTAGTAAATATCAAGAAGTTTATACTATTCAATAATTTTAAAAGTTTAATACTAACTTTTTTAGTAATTTTAACAATTATTGAACATAATTGAAGGTAAAGAAACTAGTTTCTGGCGTGCCATCCAGCCTGTTAACACACCAGACAGGTGTTAGTCTCTCTCTGTTTTCACTGGAGGTAACATCTTGCTTGAGACTTCAACTAAATGCTTTTTTTCTGTTTCCAAGCAAATTTTTGGTCATTTTGAAATATATTTTACATATTGACAATATATAATGCAGTGCAGTGTTGATTTAAAGAAAATAATCTTAAAATACACCAAGAGAACTAAAATTTTATGGGTGAAATGGTGCCATGGGGTGACTTCTCTTCCACCCCAATGCCTTCTCTTCTTCCTTCTCCTCCACCCCCATTCTAATTCCCATCATCATCATCATCATCATCATCATCATCCAGGAGCCTTCTACATACACACCTCAAAGTAAGTGTACTTTTCTACCTTTTTTTGTTGAATTTAGGCAATTTTCGATGAGCTGGAACCAATTACCCAAAAACCCATTGAAACAATGGTTTCGGTTAACGAGCGACCTGCTGGAACGGATTGTGCTCGTTAACCGAGGGACCACTGTATAGTTTCCCAATGTGCACTGGCTTCTGGAGGCTGTGTTTTAACAACATTATATATTGCTTTTAGGAACCTTGAAATTAAGTGTCATGCCAACTGACACACGTGAATCTTTGTGTACACTCAACCAAAGAAGTCTGTCCACATTGGTCCGAAGATTCCCCAAACTAAATGAGCAACGTAGCCACCAATATGAACCATGCTTCACATTTTTCACAAGATTAACCTAGTTTCTTCAGAGTATGCATACAGTATAATAACAATACTTACCATGGATAAAACAGGAAATGTCACTTGCAAGCGATATATGGCATTTTGCAATATCCATCGCCTGTGGTGCCAGATTGTTTCTCGTGAAATATGCACAGTTCTTTTTTGATCGTGTGTAAATGTTTAAGTTTAGGAGTTCACAGTTGGCATGACATTGACTACTAGGTTAAATGTCATTTAATATTCTTTACATTCACACACAAATCTCATACCAACTTTCAGCCAATGATAAAATCTTTTTAATGAATACTGTATATTGTCATCTACCATTTTTTGGTGGTGGTGGTGGGGGAGAGTTCGCTTAAGGTGGCATCTTAACATGGCAGTGACCAGCACCTGATATAATAAGGTTATTAATCAAATAGATCATAACCTGAACACTAAGGATTATAACCCATTAGGACTGGAGACCAATTGACCTATACATCTCTGCCCATATACAAGAAAGAGAAGCAGCACTTAAGGCATTGGTAGTCCAGCAGAGTATTAAACCTCACTAACAAAGCTGACTTGTTTGTTCAACACAACAAAAATTATTACGAGAGAAATGTAAATTTTCAAAAATCTAATACATGATATTATTATTATTATTTGAGACCATATTTATTTAGGTTTAATAATTAAATATTTCAGCAATCTCAACATTCAGAAAATAATATTACAATCATGATACAGCAAGTATGCAAAGTGTGTACAGTGAGAAAATGAAATGCTTTATCTTCCCAAGTTTTGATGAATACATGGCAGAACTGTTGAACCATTCAACACACACACATAAAGTCTTGGTAACACTTCCAGTACAATCTGTCAGGTTTCATTATATTTCAACCAATGCTGGGAAGATCCTTCATTCTTTCACTGTAAGAGGGACTGCACCTTACACTACAGTTCAAGAAATTAACTTCAGTACACCTTCCAAAGTATTTATATTTGAAAGTAATGATTAGAAGCATTATATAACTGACAGGTAAATAAAATATATCACACAAGAGTACTCTATACAAACACACACACCACCCCTTATACACATCTCCACACACACACACAAACCACCCCTTATACACATCTCCACACAAACACACACAAACCACCCCTTATACACATCTCCACACACACACACACACACACACACACAAACCACCCCTTATACACATCTCCACACACACAAACCGGTGCCACACACATCTCCACACACAAACCACCCACACACAAACCACCCCTTATACACATCTCCACACAAACCACCTATACACATCTCCACACACAAACCACCCCTTATACACATCTTCACACACACACAAACCACCCCTTATAGACATCTCCACACACACAAACCACCCCTTATACACATCTCCACACAAACCACATATACACATCTCCACACACCATATACACACCCACTTATACACACATCTCCACACAAACCACCCCTTATACACATTCCACACACAAACCACCCCTTATACACATCTCCACACAACCACCCCTTATTATACATCTCCACTGACACACCCCTTATACACATCCTCCACACACAACCACCCCTTATACACACATCTCCACACAAACCACTCACCACTTCATCACATCTCCACACAAAACCACCTATACATACCCCACACACAACCACCCCTTATACACATCTCCACACACAAAAACCACTTATACACATCCCCACACAAACCACCCCTTATACACATCCCCACACACAAACCACCCCTTATACAAATCTCCACACACAAACCACCCCTTATACACATCCCCACACAAAAACCACCCCTTATACACATCTCCACACACAAACCACCCCTTATACACATCCCCACACACCAACCACCCCTTATACACATCTCCACACACAAACCACCCCTTATACACACACACAAACTACAGTAAAGTCCAAAAATCCGGACTGCTTGAGGATTGGGTCGGTCCGGTTTTTTGGATTCTCAGGCAGTACTTTTAAAATTCAAATTTAAGGAGGAATAAAGAAGAGATGAACAGGTACATTTCGATAGTTTATTCATTAGCAAATATAGCATGCTTCATTTATCAAAACGAGCAGTTTTAAAGAAAATGCTGTGAATTCTAGAAATTTATTCTTTGCCTTTTTTATATCGTAAATTGTAACTTTCCAATGTCGTATGTTTCCATTAGAAAAGTATTGCACACACCACGTTCTAGTTTCTTAATTATTTCAAGTTTGTCACTCAATTTCAACGTGTTCTTCTTTCTCTTCACACAACGAAGTTTATCTACTTTAGGAGCCATTTTTATGGGCTTGTACAGTACAGTGTACTCTGAAATGGAAAGAGTAGGATTGAAAATTACATACCCGGTACGTTGTCACAGTTTGATTGCTCGTTTTAGTGGCGACTGCGTGGTCGCTCGTTGTCGCTGTGCAGCTGTGGCGCTCATGCATGCGCACATACACACAAAAGCCAGCTAAAAAAAAAAAAAAAAATCGAAAAGTCCGGATTCTCGGGTGGTCCGGATTTTTGGACTTTTACTGTACCCCTTATACACATCTCCACACACACACACACACACACAAACCACCCCTTATACACATTTCCACAAACACACAAACCACCCTTTACACACATCTACATGCACATACCCAGGCATACAACCAAATACTTAAGCATTCAACAAGCAAATGATATAAATTTGTGATATAGTACAGTACGTTTCTTTACAATGTTAAAAATAATGCTGCGAAATTGTTCATATTTTACCTCAACTTTTATTCACTGATAATTTCTCATCAACCCACAATGTTCTCTTACGAGTATATTATATTTTGGATGTTGATCTTAAATAATATTCCTACATGTAGATTTTAAACTGGTAAAAGTTTCCATTTAATCCCTGAAAATGTTCAAATTTACAATAATTTCCCATAATATCATGCAACAACTTCAATTTAAGGTTAAATTCTTTATTTATCTACATTCGCTGCAGCCAGCTCCACTATGCAGGGCGTCTGACAAAATTGTATACACATTGCCTTGAAGATATTTTTATAGTAATTGTGCAAATGTTTATACAGTATTTACAACACTAACATTGTCCTTAGTTGGTGATGTGTGAGGACTCCCAGTGCTGTACATTGTGGGGGACCTCGCACATCAACAAGTGAGGACGATGTTGCTCATGTAATATAAATATTCACGAGACCTCCACATGAAAATCTGTAATGCAGTGTGTATACATTTTTCCAAAACACCCAGTACAGTATTGTCAAGTGACCCTTCTGTCCTACACTGAGGGTCAAAGCATAAAACAAAAAATAAATGTCATTTTTTTTCTTTGGCAAAAACATAATATGTAGAGTACTCGTAGTTCAATAAAATTATCTACAAATGGATGATAAATCATGGAATGGAAAATAATTAATCAATAGAAATTTTATACAAAAGATATAATTTCAAATAAGAGAAGCCATACTACACTCCAGTCTGTGTAGGTCAGTCCATTACTGTACCATCAAGTTCACCTTCCTTTGCCACTTCATCTTAACACACTAACATCTATCTCATGATTAATATATCAGAGAAGCAGCAGTTCACCACAACCAGATGAAACACAAATAAAGCATTACAGTCCAGTCAACTACTGAAGTCCGTTTGCTTCTCCTCCTGAACACGGAGATTCCGACTCATGAACCCAAAGCAGTAGACGACTATTACATTACTGTCCATAAATGCTTCGGATTCATGAGTCTGAATCTTGGGGTTTGTGGTTCAGGGGAGAGACAAATGTACTTTAGTAATTGACTGTGCAATAAGACTGGTGACCCAACCCTAATCCAACTCTCAATTTACTTTTGCTAGATGGTTGAGTGTGAGCAGCAGCCAGTGTATACGTAGAACAATTATTCATGACCATAGACAAACCAACCAGATTTAACTTAAGCTAATAAACAAACTTGGGTTTGTAATCTATGCTACAAAACAAGCTGTGGTTCATTGTGCAAGCATGATCCCATTAAAATGGCCTTGTAAGTCTTTCATTTTTGGGGGTACAGTTGGAACATACAGTTTAACCTCACATATCCGACATTTAACCATCTGGGACTCTCAAGCAACCAGCATTTTTTTGGCGGGGTTAATTTCCAATAAGTAATGTCTTAATCACATTAAAAAACTAAGAATATTGGTTTGAATTTGGTGCTGCTTTGCCCATGGTTCAAATTCTGGCCACTTGAGGTGCTATGTGTGTCCTCTATATTGGCCAAACCCACTTCTGCTTGCTTGAATGTTTGTGCCGGTGTAACCGCTATCATCGCCTCATCCATCCAGCATGCCTAAGACAGGAGCTGCAGCTAAGCACAAACACATTGTCTTACTCTAAAGCAGAAGATGGAGACAGTATATGTACGAGGCTGGACAAAGGCGAGATTCGTCATGTGTTCATGGAAGAATATATTTACTAAGTCCTTTTATTAATTTTATAATATATTTACTTTGTCCCTTTATTCTTTTATAATATTTAATATGACAATGTTTATGAGTTTGAGATGGATATTTATAAGAGTAACTCTCAAACATCTGGAAAAAGATTATCCGGCAGTCAATTATTTTCCCCACGCATTCAGGATATCTGAGGTCTGACTGTACCTGACCCTTCAACACAATATATTAAAAGCCAAACCCAGACAAGTGTGTAGCCACTAGTATAATAAAATCATGAGAGAAAGAGATAGAGAGAGGAAAGACGTATAAGACCAGGTTTATTGTAATAGATAAGTTTCTTCACATGATGTAAGCAAGAGGCACTGTACATCATATTCATTCAAAGGGACTTCCAGTCAAAAGACCAAAACAAAAGCTTCCTTCCACTAAATATACTACAATTAAATAAAGAATACAATTAAGGATGTAATCATTGTATTATATTCAGCTGTATTATGTACAGTACTACAGTTTTCCCACACCTGAAACTGTTGTACAGTCTTTCCCTTCAGTATATGCAACTCACAAAATTAAGTGATGAATTTATATGAATTTAAAAGCATTTAGCACAATTCTCCAACTACCCTGTCAATGTTGTAGAGAATATCTTGGTTATATTTTGCCCAGAAGAGCAATATGAGTAGACATTTCTCGTTACATATATTTACTGAAGGTTCAATGGAGGCAACTAGGCCGAGATACATAAATACCCATCACACATGAGGTTAAATCCTGGGCATGGGAGTGAGTGAGTCAAGTACACTAAATTATATACTGTACAAGTTTCTCATCAGGTCTGAGTAACACCAGTGAGTCTGTCATTGTATATTTCATCACCCGTGTACTCGTACAAGTTATCGACTAATCTCGTCTCACACCACATCCACAATCCGTCAAAGTATTGTTGTATTATATAATAACCTGTTGTCCCTCTTGACATTATCTGACTATTATTTCTAATACCTAAAACTCTTCATTGGTCTCAGAAAACAGAAATAGCCAACTGTATAAATAACTTTACTTGACACACTATCAATGGCCAACCAGGTACACACAGGGTACTGCCATTCTGAAATATATTCCAGTCATCACATGATTACAGAATTACTATTATATCATTGGACTTGACTTTACTGTGTCTGAGCTGCTATATCTGTCTATATCAAGTGTAATAAACTTCTTGTTGAAAGAAGTTTAAGTTTGAGATTAACAAGTGAATATCAAATATGAAAATTATCGGTATAATAGTGTCAGATTCTGTAATTATCATGTTATTTCTATACTTGTTATTTAAGCCATAATAATATTCAAGTCCAGGGAAATAAAGTGTGATAATTGGGACTGAAATATTACGGATTTATAAATACACATGTTGGCAATTACATAAAATCTGTAGACCAAAATTTAATGTGACAATGATGGCTGGTGTAATACTTTAGTCAATCTAGAGAAGAGTTTTTTTTTTATATATATGTTCTAAATAATTTGCTCAGCCTTGGATTCACTCTCAGTCAAAGGCGTGTGACGACTCCTGGGTGTTGAGGAGGTTCACTTCCTCGTCATCTTCAAACACCTCCACCTCCAGATGATCTTTATTGGACTTCTTGTTGTGCTGGTTCACGTGGGTTATGCCCTCAGTAAGGCCGGTGGTGGTCAAGCTGAGGAATAAAAGTGAAGTGAGCCAAAATAACTAACTTCTCATAAATATACACAAAAAAGACACAAAATTCTATAAAATATGATGGAAAAATACAGAATAAACTCGATTCTTCCAAGACCTTCCTGGTTATGTTCGTATAAAATTTCTGTAAAAATAAATTTATATTGATTCAAATTATCAACTTCAAAAGATGACCAGGTGCATGCATGCACATACACACAGTTAGGTTAGGTTGGCAAGTGATAGCCAATGCTGGAAAGATATTATCAATGCTGGAAAGTGATGGTCAGTGCTGAAAAGTGGCAGTCAATGGTGGAAAGTGGCAGTCAATGCTGGAAAGTGATAATCAATGGTAAAAAGTGATGGTCATGGCTGGAATGTGATGGTGAATATTGAAAATTAACGATCAATGTTGGAAAGTGCAATAACATCATTTACTGACATTTGTCCCAAGAGCTACAGCACAAGTAAAGTGGTTCCTCGGTTAACGAAATTTCGGTTAATGAATTAGCTCCCATAAGGATTTTCAGTTCACTTAACGAAATCCTTACAAGAAACAGTTTTGTTGTGCGCATCAGCTGATCGGCTAGTCCGCCAATACAGTAATCGGTTCTATGTTTACATTCGTTTCCAGTGGAGTAAATATCAAGAAGGTTGTGCTCTTTAATATTTTTGCATTTTTTATATTAAAATTATTATTCATTTTAAAATTTAGTTAACATATTGATAATATAAGCAGTACAGGGAACTAGTTTTTTGTCCGCCCATCAGCCGCTTGACTCACCCGCCAAAGCGTCTCTGTTTAACTTTGTTTACAGTGGAGGAAACATTGTTTGTTGGTCTCTTGAATACAGTGGCGTATGCTATAACGACTCTAATTGGTTCTAGAACCTTGTTCGTTATAGCATTCGTTCGTTATAGGATTAATCCGTTCCAGGCCCCCAAATACAACCACTTAACACTGAAAAATATAATATAAAATTGTAAAAATTTTAAAAAAGTGCATAAATATGCATCTAAACCCCTGAAATAAAGAATATCATTAATACTTGTAATAAAAAAACAATAAATTAGTAAAAAAAAAAAAATTTTTTTTTATTAAATAATGTTCGTTGTAGGAGTTTCGTTCGTTATAGCATTCTCAATTTTATAGGTAAAACCGTTCGTTATAGGAATATTCGTAGTAGGATCCGTTCGTTATAGCATACCCCACTGTACAGAGTATTTTTACGTTTTTACATTAAAATTATTGGTCATTCTGAAATTTAGTTAACATATTGATAACATATAGCACAGTGCGGTGTTGATTTAAATAAAATAATCTTTAATTACAGCTAGTGAACTTAAAATTTTATTGGTGAAATTACTGCATCAAGCATGGGTGAGAAAGATGATTACCCTCAGTGTTCCTCTCCAAAAAGGAGAGAGGATTATTATGTTAGAGAATCTGTCAGTCCAGAGGTTCCTGACATTATTATCGAAGGTGACTCGCCTTCCAAGAAGCATTAAAATGCTTCTCTTCTCCCTCTCCTCCACCCACTTCCTTCTCTTCTCCCTTCTCCTCCACCCACCACTTCTAATTCCCATCATCATCATTAACCAGCAACATTCTACATACACACCTCAACGTAAGTGTACTGTACTGCATTTTGTTTATACTTTTAATGTACTTTTCTGTGAGTTAGAACCAATTACCCAATATCCCATTGAAATAATAGATTCGATTAACGAACGACTCTGTGGAACAAATTGTGTTCATTAACCAAGGGACCACTGTACTCTGCTAAATTGCTGCCTTTAACAACAAGGTCCCAAGAAAACAATACAGTACAGTAGGTTCCCTAAAGTCCCTTCACAAAACTCAGCCTCAGCCATTACCAGCACAGTTACCACATCAAAGTAATCTTTTTGTGAGAAAATGTCAAGGATACGTACACCTCGTCAACCTCTTCATCCTCGTCATACACTCGGAAGTACGGGTTGTTATTGGCGGGTCGGAACTTGTATCCCGTCATGACGAAGAAGACATAGGTGGCCATCTCACGGCACATGTCATTAAGCCACTTGTACTGGAATGGCACACTAATCTGGAATGGATGGCAAAGTTAATGTTGTGTGTACAGTCAGCTTGTGTAAGTTATGCTATGTAGCTCAAACTGGATTCCCTACTCTGCACTCATTAGCACAAAAATGGAATGCAAGGAATATGAAAAGTCCATTGATGATGGCTATCATCCTTACAGCAAACTTCCACAGAAGGCCGCTGTCTCTATAGCTAATGCCTACAGATGATGGCCACCATCCCTACAGAAACTTATGTGGGAAAAATTATAACAAATATACCTTAAACACAACATAATTTTGTATTATTGGACTCATAAAATTATCTCAACAGTACTTATGAACTGACCCTCAAGAGGTAGACAATGATGCGGGTGAAGTAGATGTAGCAGACGATCATGATGTAAAAGTGCCGGAACAGCTTCAGTTTCCTCAGGTTCATGGCGGCCTTGCCATCTGTCTGGGAGGCGTCCTGCAGGTGACGGATAGACCTGTCCATGCAGATATTATTAGCTAAAGTTATCATGAGAAACATTATGATGAATGAAAAGTGAAGCAATAAACTATATACCTCCTGGGGATGATTAACAAACACAAAAGTTATGTTCAAGCTAAACTGCTGTATTTCATTTCATGGAATCTAAAATTAGAACACAGTAAAAAGGCAGTAGGGCCTCACCAGACAACAGGCAGAAGAATGGCCCCACAGCAGAGGAAATCTATCGAGAAGAGAAGAACGACCGCCATGGCGTGGTCTTGGCTGGCCTCTTCAGTTTCTTCCACGATAATTGTGGCAACGTTGGCAATGATCTGAGATAAATAAAACAGGTATAAAGGAAACAACATTAAAACAGATATGCCAATATACCCTTTTCCTGCATTGCTGGTAAGTCTTAATTTTTGTTTAAGTTTTCTGATTATGGTCGATTATTTTGGCCAAAAGATTGGGTATTGAGGTGCCAGAAAAATACAGATACAGTCGTTAATAATAACAATATTGACATGACTGAGTCAGTTGAAAGCCTGAGCTCTCTTGAAGCTTTGATATCTTGGAAAATTTAACAACTCAGAATGGTTAGTCCCATATATTCCAAGTTATCAAAGATTTACAGTATTAATATTTATTTTATGTATCTATGACATCATACCTATATGATGATCATCATTATATAACTACTATAGGTTCTCTGTGTAAGATATGGAGCAGCTGTTCGCCTCGGTGCTGAATAAAATCATCTGGCATTAGCCAAAGCAAATATTATAAGTGAAGTCCCAATAGTGAAGGGGTTACGGGTTAAACTGATAAAAATATATAGCAGTTCCTAAAACATCCCTACAAGGGACACATTTCATGGAGGTTTGGTAAAAGCCAATTTACTAAAATTCAAAAGTATTATCTAATTGGGGAAAAGCAGAAAAATTACGAAGTGTTATATTCCATTTCAATACAGTATATTAATCTGTACTTTACCTGCAGAGGAATGATGATCATGAAGATCTTCCTTTCTTTGCTGGAGAGAACGTGCTTTACGAAGGCCCATCCTGAACCAATGAGAGCCAGCACAGTGAAGAGCAGTGCACCTTTCAATCTGAAGATATAATAATAATAATAATAATAATAATACAGTAATAATAATAATAAAGGTAAGTGTAAGTACAATCACCACTGTTTGCTATTTGGTAAAAAAAAATTAAAAATTAAAAATCACAAGAAAAATATCATCACACAGCAAAGACTTTAATATTTCATGTTATATAAGTATTAATTATCTGCTCTCCTGATGCCACATTCATTCCCTCGAAGAGTTGCAAAAATCTTTAGGTTGAATATAATCATCCGGTGTTAACCAAATACTGTCATTCTTCATCCAATTGAACCAATGACCACAAAACTGTATTAAGTCAAAACAGTCTGAGCATTACTTTTAATAGTCCTCACAACATGTTATTAATACAAGACTTACAGATGCATGATGTAATACATGACAGCCCAGGCCTCCATGTGGACACCCTGAGTCTGGATGAAGTGGTAGTTCACTCCGTGGAACAATAAGCTGAAGGACTTGATCACCACCAACACTCCCATCAAGTAATGGATCTTAAAGACAGGATCTCTGTGCAGGAATAATTGGGTTATAATTTCATCAGATCACATCATATGAAAAGCACCATATTCCTGGTAATACCTAACAGATAATATTTGATAACTAACTTTCCATCAACAGTCATTCTTGTACTGGATACATGAGAAGTGTGAGAGGAAGAAGGTAAAGTGTTCTCTCCGTTACTCTCCACATTTACTCAAACTTGTCTTATGTTAAGTACACCATTAGGGAACACACACACACACACACATATTTCACTGACTGCCTTCTCTAGCAGTTAAAAGTAAATACAAACAGCAAGTAGACCTGTGTGCACAGTTTTCCTTGACTGTACAATCTCCATCACTTGTTTATTTGTGCAATTTCCTAATCATACACCCAAGAGTACTGTAACAGCATATTAAGATCATACAAACCAAAATTAAAATGACAGATGAACTGTAAGGTGAGTGACCAGAGTACAGTATGCTGAAGTACTAGTTAAGAGGCACTACAAAATGAAGCCTTACTTGCTCTTCTTGAGGAGGAAGAACCAGAAACAGGCTGATAGGAAGAACAGAAGAGCCATCATGAAGTAGAGTGCTGGCAGGGGCATCTCTCCTGCTGACAGATAGTTTTCATCTGGATTCTTTTCCTCAATCTGAAATATACACTCATTAACCCAGAGGAGTAGACCAATAAATTCTGTCCATAAATGTCTGGGATTCATGAATCTGAATTTCAAGGTTCATGGTTAAGGAGGAGAGGCGAACAGACTTCAGTAGTTGACTGTACATACAATAATGGCATAAAATACACTGTGCTGTAAATGAAACTACATAAAACATTCCTATTTCAGGTCTTGATCCCAGGACTGTTATAATGCAAATGTCAATATTTACCAAATATGGCTAACAGCAGGTTAAATCACAACTGCTGCAGCTTGTGGAAACCTCCACTTTATAACACAACTACGGTGCACCAATAACATGCAGTGTATAAGAATCAATATTTGAGATTTTTCAGATGATTCAAAGAAATAAATTTTCCAGTAAATCTAAATTAAAAAAAAAAATCATTAAGATTACAATTTACAATTAGCCACAACTTTTCTTCTCACCAACATTACTTCAGTGCCTTCTTTTTTTATTTATTTATTACAACAACCATTGCCAGCTTACTACCAATTTGGGCAGTTGCTCTTTCTTTGTTAAGATCTTTTAGTGTCCAGTGTTAGTAGAGGAAGAAACCAGAGCACCCAGAGGAGACCTGTCATGTTTGGTAGCAAGCATCACACTGGGATTGAACCCCAGACACAGTAATGAGAGATACGCATGTTACCGCCGTACCACCACATTCATCAGCAAGGTAAACATTACAAGTGACCATCTCTCAACAGCTGTCTTACCTGCATGAACATGTCAATGGTTGAGTGTTCTCCGCTTGGCTCAAAATTCATACAGTTGTGGAAGTTGAGGTTGTATAGGCCCTCCTCCTTCTCATTGGACACATACACCAAGAACTGTCAAGGATAATGATACCATTATTTTTCTGATCATATGTAAGCTAACTCGACTTTTATCACCATATTGAATTGAAGTTTATTTAGCTAGAAAAACACAGATACAGAGTGGATAATAATAACAATATTAACATGGCTGAGCCAGTTGAGAACCTGAGCTCTCTTTTAGGCACTTGATATATACTATACATTTATCTCAAGGAAGTATTATGTAACATTTAGTAACATCTGGAATAGTAAAATAGCACGGTGGTAATAAGAACATCTCATAATGTTACCACAGTTATCACTTCAATATTTATTTATTTTATATTATCATTTTTTTTTATTATAAGTATATACATAAATTACAGAGGAATTGAAAACATCAGTATAATGGGGGAGCAGTACAACATGGGTTGTACAGTATTAAGGTTGAACAAGAGGACAGAGCTGTCAGGATTATGCCTAGTTGGCAAATAAGTTCATTGCAATCTTTCAATTTCATTATATTATTGTGAAGTCACTCCCAGTTTTCACAATTCTTTACAAACACACACACACACGCACACACCTAATCAAGTCCACATCACCTGTATGAAACAACATGCCAACCAGCCACTCCTCTCTCTCTCTCTCTCTCTTCCATGTACCTTCACTTTCTCTCTCTCTCTGTGCTATACTTCTAACATACACATCAACATCATTGTCTTAACACAAACTTCCTCACTTTTAACCTTACATCATTACTCAAGTCTTGGCTCACCTGATCAATAGTCCCCCCCAATCTGTTTCACCTTATGATTAAAGATCCCAAACCTTCTTTTCATCTTATTCCTGTTAATCCTCTTTATCATCCTCTTATTGACCTTACAGCTGTAGTAATCATCCTCTTATTGACCTTACAGCTGTAGTAATCATCCTCTTACTGACCTTACAGCTGTAATAATCATCCTCTTGCTGACCTTACAGCTGTAGTAATCATCCTCTCACTGACCTTAAAGCTGTAGTAATCATCCTCTTTGGTCATGTTAATTTTAACATCGTTGCACTTCTGGCTGTTGGTGTCATCAGATGGTACTTTGACAGTGGTAGTGGTCAGGTCTGGGGTTCCTGTAACAGAAGAATACAGTTACAGGGGGTATCTTAATACCTGCACCTTCATTGTAATATGCTGAACCCTTGAGTACATATGTCTGAAACCTCCCCGAGTACAATGTCTGAAACCTCCCTGAGTACAATGTCTGAAACCTCCCTGAGTACAATGTCTGAAAGCTCCCTGAGTACAATGTCTAAAACCTCCCTGAGTACTATGTCTGAAACCTCCCTCAGTACAATGTCTGAAACCTCTCTGAGTATGATGACAGAGTTCTCAGGAGTTATGTCACTGGATGCCAAGGATTAAGGGAAAGAATTAGGACCATATTGCAGTAATGAATTCATGTTTATGCATCACATCTACCAAAGAAAAACTTTAGTACTGAACATATCTAAAAGACTTCTGCCATTTTTTCATTACAGTAAAATTTCTTATTATTTACAAGTTGATGATGTTTCACCTCGTCTCTTCATAATAATATTCTAATTAATGTTTCAGCCTGCACGTCAAGATTACTTGTCCAAAAATATAAATGCTACTGTAGTCCATGTGGATGTTACGTGTACATATAACGGTGATTATGTTTACGCACAAAGTAATGCTGTACCATATATCAGTTAAGATGTTACCCTCTGGTCTGATGGCTGGTCTTCACAACCCTCCACTCCCAATGTTTTACAGCTGTGTGTGTGTGTGTCAAGTGTCTCAAGTTTTGCATATCTCAGGAAAGTAACTTTTATTTAATTTAATCAACACTTAAAAAAGGATCATTCTAGATTTAAATTACAAAATAGTAGCATATAAAAGAAAAGTCAACACAATCATTAAATACCATTCATGGTCACATACCTTGTAGGGTGTCTATGCCCTCCCTCTTCTTCCTGGACCACATAGTTCTCTATAACACAAACATTACACATTAAAGTACATATATATCATGATTTAGTGATAGAAAACATAATTATTTCACTTGAAAGTACTGTATTTTTTTTACTGTCAACCCATTTATTACATTAATGTAGAGTGGCAAGAATGATCAGTGAACAAAGTCTCCCCTTCCTGTGTTATCCTATGGTACTCCTGTTCTACAAAAACCTAAATGTCCATCTGGTTTATCCATGCCACTTCATATACCTCAGGACCACCCAACAGTAGGTCATATCTCTATTAAACCACTGATTCTATGATCTATCACCATCACAGTACATGGTTGCTTTCTGGACATCCTTCTCCCACATTTCTAGTGCATCCTTTCACCTTTTTCTTAATCCTTCTCTCATCATCAATGTTTTATGGCCATTTTCCACATTTGCAAAGGTTACCCGTGGTTACCTGATGACAGCTCTTTATCTTGCACAGTCTCTTGCAGTCCCTCTTGTCAAGTTCTTAACTTTAGTGCTATTTCTTACAACCTCTCCTCTTGTCAATCTTGGCCTGGCCCTGGCTCTCTTCCCCTCCAGTTCGGATCATGCACCTCTTAACCCAACTGGTCTCATCCATTTTCTCCACAGGCCCCAAACCATCTCAGCTTGCTTATACACAGAGCGTCACTAATACTGCATTGTCAATACCCAACCACCCTCTTAGTTCTGAACAGGGCCTCCTCTACTTTCGGTGTCACATTCCACATCCACCTCACGATTCTCATTTCCAATTTGCTCAAGCATGCTTATGTCATCCTTTTGAACTGTTCATTTCCCTGCCAGAGAGAGGGAGTGTGACCTATTACTGGTATATATGAAGATAAATCACTAATAGTACCATACTGTACATACCTTCTGCACGTGTGATGGGAAGAGATTACTATCTTTCAATTTCTTCAGGTGCTCGGCACTCTTTATTTCTCTCAGCTTCTCCTTGCCCTTCAACACCTGGAGGTCCTTCATGTCCTCACTACACTTGAGGTAAACCCTGTAAACACCCCCATCAAACATTAATCATCATAAGTTAGAGTACTGGGCAATTATAAATGATCTTCCAAATAAAATAATAATTATAATGAGGGTAATATCAGTTACAGCAAAGAGCAAGACATGATAATAAAGAACTCAAAGGGTTTTATTTTCAAGCTATATAAGATTATAATGATCTCCTCCTATAGCTCTGTAGTGGTATATATACTGTATGTTGTTTCACTCTATACATTTTGTACCCTGTCATACTGAAAGTTTTTAACAGCCTCGCTTATCCTTTCCTTCAAATTCTCAAAAGCTACTGCACTGGTGGAACAAGAACTTCCTTCCTATCATACTGTGACATCTTTGTTGTTTTTCTAAAATAAATATTAATACCGTTTGTAAACACTAGGTACTGTATTTCGTGAAGAGGGTAGCCTAGGGAGTGAGGTTGAGAGTCAAACGTCCTCTAACTTAACCAAGCCCGTTAGAATTTGGTCTAATAGTTTGGTATATGGGTTATAATAGGTATTCATGGGGATCCTTCTCTCTCTATCTCTCTCTCTCACATGCATGCACGCACACACACGCACGCACGCATACGCACACGTGTCTCCTGGCGCTCAGTAGCAGCCAAGGTCATCACGTCGACCTGTAGCTTCTTAAGGCAGTTCAGTACTTTTACGGGTAGACAGTGCGTATTTTCAAGGTGTCAGTGACTGTTAGTGCCAGACTTGTGAATATGTGTGTTCCAGTGCTACGATATCGTCGCACCGACCTGTTTCGGTTGAAGTCCGGTGCTGGCTATCCTCCACCCCACACCATCACTCTACTAAAGGAGCTGAGAATCTTCCACAACCGCGGTTGCAGACGTGGTCGCCGCATTCCCAGACGAATCCCTATCATCACACCGAGCAAGCATAGGAAAGTCAAGCCAGTACTTGAAAGACAGTGTACTCGCTATGAAGTGCCGCGACTATGGTACAGCCTACCATCCCTACTGCTGTCCAATGTCACATCTTTATGCAACAAGGTGGAGGAGGTCAGTGTCACTGTGAAGTCAGTTGGTGCAGGCATTGTGGTGATTACCGAGGCGTAGCAAATTGTTCCTGAGATCTACGCCATAGAAAACTATGAGTTATTTCACCACCTTAGAAAGGACAGGAGAGGTGGGGGTGTAGTTCTGTACTGTCGCAGTGACCTCAAACCATCACCCCTAGGTGTTAATGTACCTGATGATGTAGAAGCCTTGTGGGTTCAGGTCACTCCCACCTCCCACCCCCACCAGCTTGCCTCCCTCATTGTCTGTGTTTGCTATCACTCCCCCCGCGCACCAACCGCCAATGTACTGATTACTCATATTATAGACACTGCTGACTCCCTGAGGGCCAGATTCCATGTGCTAAACTAGTGATAAGCGGTGACTTCAATGAGTTAGACATCAGTGACATCACCCAACACCTCCACCTTACACAAATAGTTGACTTTCCCACACATGACAATGCCACCCTTTACCTCATTATGACTGATCTCGGTAACCACTACCTTCCCCCCCAGCCGCTGCCTCCCATGGCACGCAGCCCCCACCTGTCCCTACTGTGGTCACCTACACTCACCTACTCACCACCGCCAGTTACCACCAGGACTTACCGACCCACCCCCGACTCTGCTATGCGGCATTTTGGACAATGGATAACCCGGTACCCCTGGACTGAAGTGATCACGGTAGACGATGTGCAGAACAAGTGGGATAATTACCTGGACACTATCACCAAAGCCTACCACCACTTCTTTCCAGCCAAAACACTGAGGACCCACCCCGATGATGTCCCGTGGATTACGCCCCGCATAAAAAGACTTATTGAGCAGCGCAACAAGGCATACTACACCAACAACCGCCTGTACAAAAGTCTACGAAATCAGGTCATCAGGGAAATCAAGTCGGCCAAGAAGACATATTATCCCAGGAAAGTGCACAGCCTCAAGGAAGTCGACATCGGTCAGTGGTACTCCAAGGTAAAAGATCTCTGTGGTCTCAACCGTCAGTCTCCCACACTTCCTTTCATCTCACATTTACCTAGTAAGGAGGCAGCTGAGATAATTAATAACCATTTTGCTACCATATGTCATACCTTACCCAGTCTTGACCTCACTCCTCCCGGTGTACTTACCTTCCCCCTCCCCCCCTCCCAGTGTTCAACCATATGAAATCGCCAACAAACTCCTGAAATTTAAATCTAAACGCTCCACGACCCCAATCGACCTCCCAATCAAAATATACAAGGAGTTTGCAGTTGAACTTGCCACCCCCCTCTGTTCTATTATTAATGCATCCCTCAGACAAAGCAAATGCCCTAATGAATGGAAAACCGCATTTGTCACCCCCATCCCCAAGGTCACCACCCCACAGTCCCCGAAAGACCTCAGGCCAGTTGCCATTACCCCCATACCCAGTCTACTTTGTGAGGACTTTGTTTTTGAGTGGACATTTGCCAGAAACTATCAGTCAATTGATCCACAGCAATTTGGCAATATGAGGACCTCCTCTACATCACACTGCTTAGTGAGCTTTCTGGATTTTCTGCACAAAAACCTGCAGAAACGTAAGACATCACTGGCCGTTGCCCTTGTTGACTTCAGGAAGGCCTTTGACCTTGCTGATCACTGCACTGTTATCAACAAGGCCATTGCACTAGGGCTGCCCACCAACCTGGTCTCATGGCTCACTGATTTCTTGAGTGGACGTCGCCAGGCAGTGAGGTATCAGGGCTTGGTTTCCATATTCCAACACCTCACCTGCGGTGTTCCCCAGGGGACCAAGATGGGACCACTGTGCTTTCTCAACCTGATCAACGACGCTCTATCGGACACTCCTCACAGGTGGAAGTACGTGGATGACTGCACTGTGGGGGTTTCAGTGGACAACACCGCACCAGACTACTCATCGCTACAAGGCACCCTGGACAGGCTACAGGCATGGACTACGGAGAACAAGGTCACCATCAACCACACCAAAACCGTAGTCATGCACATCAATACCGCCTACCACTCCAGTGCAAGCCCCAGCAGTCACAGTGGGTGCCCATCCTCTCCAGCTGGTGCAGTCTGCCAAACTCCTGGGTGTAACTATGGACAACAAACTTGACTGGAAGGCCCATGTAAATAACATAGTCAAGGCAGCTTCGTACAGTCTCTACATGCTACGACGACTTAGGTCACTTGGGACACCCACGCCAGAGCTGAGGACCATCTACAACGCCTTTATTCTCCCCAAACTAACGTATGCGTCACCAGCCTGGTCGTCTTCCCTCAACTCCACCCAACAACGTCAGCTAGAGAAGGTACAGAAAAGGGCCTGCAGAATCATGCTCGGCGCTGACTACTCCGGCTACACCAACGCTCTCTCCACCCTGGAAATGCCATCCCTCAGTGACCTCCACCACCAAGCACTGGAAAGGTTTGGCAGCCAACTATTGCACCACCCTCGTCATCGCCACCTCCTGCCACCAGCAGCCCCCCACCCACCTCGCGCAGTCCGCCACTACAACAAAATTCAGCCCATAAGAGCCCGCACCGATAGATATAAGAGTAGCACCATCCCATCTATTGTTAAAATAATAAACAATGCCTGATTTATGTACTGTACAGCCCTGTAAATGTATTCAATGCATATTATATCATTATGTCTAAATCAAATTTAAGTGTATATTTTCAGCCACCGGCTGCAACTCTATTAATAAACCGTTTAATATTATTATTATTATTATTATTATTACACACACACACACAGACACACGAGGCCTCTCGTAACATCATCTGTGAGGGAGTTACTACACTATGTGTTTGCTGTTCGACATCTCAGCACACAAGACCTACGTGACCTACATTGTAAATATTAATTTATAAAACAGTATTTTTTCGATTTAACAAACTAATTCGAGTCATCCTTTTCCGTTAAATCAAAATTTCTGATCAAATTTCAATTAATTTGAATCCGTTATTTTCGCTCAATTTAGCGAGCTATAGTTTGCCAAGTCGAGCGTGATTCCGTTAAATTCCACGCCAACTGCGCTGCTTGGCGTCTGGGGTTTGTTTACATCCACTCACTGTTTCTTGCCGCCACCATGTGTGTTGTTCACTGCTACCTCTCAGTCTACCTCTCGGTCAACTAACTGCTGTACTTAGACATCATGCCGAAAGTCTTTCATAAGTGTCAGAAAGGAAGTGGTGTAGGGAAGAAAGTCAAAAGAGGGGGGCTATCAATTTGAAAAAGTTTGGAAACTTGTAGAAAAAAATTGAAAACAAGTTTAAGGTAAGCCATGAATAATGTTTCTATGTACATATCATGTGTGTGAGGTGTCTCCATGGGTGGGAGTGTTTTAAAGGAATTAATCTCGATTTAGCAAACTAGTTCACTAAATCGAGTGAAAAATAAAGGAAAAATTTCTTCCGTTAAACCGAGAGTTCATTACTGTATATCGGATTCTGTTAAATCGAGAGTATAATGTATGCTCACAATATGTTTCTTTTCCTTCCTCTAATGAAAGCTCTTATTAAACCCCCCACCCTCCTGTGCCAATGTATATACAGTAGAAAGTAATTTTTGCCAACTGTATATTTTCAGCCTTCAGGCTGCTGAATATTTTTAATAAACTATTAATTATTATTACACTAAAATTTTTTGATACATTACTGCACTAAATATCGTCTTTACCATTAAGAATAAATATTAACATAAAAAAAACAAATTTACTACAGTACTGAACAGTATATGCATTTCTTTTTTCTTCTACATAATGGCATGAGATATAAATACATGTACAGTACTGTAGTTACTATACATAAAAACTTACTGGCTATTTTTCAGATCAAATATGAAGAAGACATGTTGCACTAAGGTGTCATTGAGCCGGAAATCCTGCAGTTGGCATCTGTCCGGTCGGTTCTCAGCATAGGGGTTGGCTATCTTCTCCAGGATGAACCCAAACTGTCGACATAAATCATTAGAGACAATTCTTAAAAACCTTAATTGGCAGCGAAGGATCCCCCACCCTCCCCTTATAGGTCTGACGTAATACCAGAACGCCCGACGTAGTAGGTGTCTGATGACATCAATCTAGAGCTTAATTTTTTTTCCCGCACAAGTAGCATGACTATTATTGTGGCAATTGCTCATCTCTGCTCACCCACACTTCTCCTTGACCGCATCTTAAACAAATAATCAGTATAACAGTTGTCACCATGGAGGAAGGTCGTGTGTCTACCTCTCTGGATTACCCACTGAGAACTCCAGCTCTTAAGCCTTGCCACTCCAAGCCACAGAGTGGTGAATGTACTGTAAATAGTGTAATAATAAGGAACCATGTGAAGGTGTTGTGAAGGTGTAAGAACATGGAGTGAGTTGGTAATGCACCACCGTTCACGCCCAGATGTGCAATAACTGCTAGAGGGGTGCTGAGGTACGATGTCTCACTGACTTCTCCGACTCGCCAATAACCGTAGGTGGTGAGTACAGTAATAATTACGTTATTTCGTAAGATTAGAACATTCATTTCATGATTTTATTTTTTTGCCAACTAAAGGTAATCAGTTTCTGAAGGGAGACTTCCCAAGATTCATGAGACCTTTAAGGGTTAAATGAGTATACAGTGAAACCTTCAATAACGGTCTTCTCCCTTCATGTAATCCATTAGATGGGGTGATCTCACATCTAATGGACCCTAAATATAATGGAATTTCCTCTCTTAACTATATAGTCTGTTAAATGAACTTTCACATCTAACAGACCTCAATAAATGGATTTTCTCTTCCATATAATGTTAAATGCAGGTTTCTCTGTACAGTATAGGGTAATGATTCTGATCACACTCTACGACTATACGTATAAAATATGGAAATGCGAAAGATGCGATGACAAACATACAAGAATAATCAACAGCTACAGGGTGACACAACATAAGACTAATCACCAGTTACAGGGTGACACAACCAGTGTTGCAGTGCCGATTTTTAAGGTAACGGAGCTGTCAAAATAATTTGTTTCCTAAACCGTATCTATTGATGTGTGTGTGTATATATATATATATATATATATATATATATATATATATATATATATATATATATATATATATATATATATATATATATATATATATATATATATATATATATATATATATATAGCCCAAATTTATCAATGATTTCATCAATATTAAGCTTCTGCAAAATAATACATTCAATGTTCATAAGAGACAGAAAATTGAGACGTTGCTAGGACATCGTTGAACGAAGTGCATGTTTTATACGCTTCAACTTCAAGAATGTTTGGATTTGGGGGCCCCTTAGAGTCGGGGGGCCTGAGGCCAGTGCCTCAAGTGCCTCATGGTTAATCCGGCACTGGCATGTGTTATCAAAGTCTTTGTACAAAATTTGATGTCATAAAATGTAAGCTGATATGAAGGAGAGATTAATTATATGAGGATATATTCGGTTTTGTATTATAAATAAAGTTGACTGCTTGATTGATATAGATTTATAGTAACATATAGAGCTTACTATAACTTCATGTGTGAAGTGTGGTGTGGTGGAGTGGATAAAAAGGAATATACTAAGGTGGTATGGACATGTGCCGAGGATGCATGAAGACAGGCTGACAAAAAAGTTTATGATAGCAAGAGAGAGGGGAATGTTGGGAGGGGTAGAGCCACCTGGGAGAAAAAGAGTTAGAGAGTTTGTTGAAGAGAGAGCGGGAAGAGGAGGAAGATTGTTTGAGAGCGCAAGTGAGGTGTGCAAGGGTAAAATGGCCTGGAGACATTTCTGCCATGGCCACCCCTTGTTGGGGAGTTCCTGGGAGGGAACAAGGCATAGGCAATATTGATTGATTGATCAAAACAGAGGTGCCGGAGCACTGCTCCGGCACCACTGGACACAACCCAAGAATACAGTATTCACTATGTAGCTACAGGGTGATACAAAACTTACCTCCTTATCGGCATCTTTTGGTGTTATCTTAAACTTGAGAACTTCAACGTCAAGGTAGCCATCACAGTAGAAGCCAAAGGTGGTGATGGGAAAGTATCGTCTTTCATCACCCTGCAAAAAAAAAAAAAATTATATATATATATATATATATATATATATATATATATATGGATATAAATATATATAAAATATATATATAAATATATATATATTATATATATATCATAGGTACTCGTTCTTCAACCTGTAATATTAAAAAAAAAAAAAAAAAAAAAAATATATATATATATATATATATATATATATATATATATAATATATATATATATATATATATATATACACTGTATATATATATGCTTTGAAAGCATTGGAGTTAGATGTAGGATAGATGATTAGTGGGTCCCATATTTTTTACCTGACTTAACTTGGCTAGTCACATCGCCCTTTCTTTTAAGCTCCTCTGCGTGTGTGGTGGTGTTGGTGTGCGGATTGGTGGATGTCATGGTTATGACCTGACCTCATGTTTAATAAGGTCACCCTGTGTACTTAAGCCTCTCTCGGTCCATGTAATTCAGTTGCCTCCGAAGATGTCTTGAATAAAGACAAAAGCAACGGTGCTCCATTGTTTCCCTTTTCCCGTGTGATTTTATCAAGATTTATCTTATCCACGTTTTCATTGTGGAGCTACATGAAATATATATATATATATATATATATATATATATATATATATATATATATATATATATATATATATATATATATATATATATATATATATATATATACACACACACACTACTGGTTCAGTCAATTCTGCAGGTGCTGTAGATTGTAAATGTACAGTACGTATATACTGTAATATTATTTCAGAGTCTAGGAAGCCAGATGCTTGTTTAACATACTACAGTGTATATAGAAAAGAGGGAATGTCTGAGAAAAACACTACTGTACCACCTGAACGAGTTGTTCCATTTTATGCATTTTTCCACACGTTCTTAGCATTATATTCCAAGAGGGGCAATATTTGCTAAAAACCAATAGAACTTGACCTAACCAACCAAAGACACCTACCTTACCTTACCTAACTGTCATATTAAACATAAAGCACTTATTTTGATATCTGATACCAATGAAAGGCGGTCCGACTAATTACCCAAATGTAGCCAAATATAGCCGCAATGAAGTCAAATAATGGTCCTAGATGAATAAATCGAACTGCCATTCACTTCTCGACTAGTATTTGGTGTCAAAGTCACAAAAAATTGGAAAACTTACTTTAATGAGTTAATAGATCGCGTGCATGTACCTAGAGAGCGAGGAATTACCCAAATGCAGCCAAATGTAGCCGCAATGAAGTCAAATAATGGTCGTACAAGCGTAATTCGGGCTGTGAATCACTTCTCGATTATTATTTGGTGCCATAAAGTAAAAAAAAATTGGTAAACTTAATTTAATCTGAGTTGTGTTGTGTTAGGTTAGGTTAGGTTAGGTACGTGCACTTGATCTATTAACTCAGATTAAATTAAGTTTATCAATTTTTTGTGACTTCGTGACACCAAATACTGGTCGAGGTGAGGTTAGGTACATGCACTCGATCTATTAACTCAGATTAAATTAAGTTTACCAATTCTTTGTGACTTTGTGACACCAAATACTAGTCGAGAAGTGATTGGCAGTTCGATTTATTCATCTAGGACCATTATTTGACTTCACTGCAACTATATTTGAGTACATTTGGGTAATTCCTCGCTCCCTCGGTACATGCACGCGATCTATTAACTCTGATTAAAGTAACTTTTCCAATTTTTTGTGACTTTGACACCAAATACTAGTCGAGAAGTGATTGGCAGTCTGATTTATTCATCTAGGACCATTATTTGACTTCATTCTGGCTATATTTGGCTACATTTGGGTACATTTGGGTAATTAGTCGGACCCATGAAAGGAACTTTGTTGAAGTGTCATAGCGTAATTTTACGTTTTATGTGGAGATGAGAGTAAGCTCAGACCGAGTGTGTTGGTTGTAAACAGACTACATACAGTGACCCAGCAGATTTTTCAGAGGACTATTTATGGTATATAATTTTCCTCACTTACGGAGACATCATTTTCGTGTTATATGATCAGTTTTTCACCATGTTTACCCCGCAATTTCCCTCATCCTTCATATCTTGCCCACTACAGGTGATTTATGATTATAGATATTAAACTAAAAAATATACTTATAAAAAAAAAAGTTGTCCCCACTTTTAAAATACTGTACATACTATAATGATAAAATCTGTGGAGTAAATGATTAAAATCAAACAGCTTTTCCCCATCTAGTTATTATATATCTTATTTGTATCACTTATGTTACATGTACAGTATATTATTTGTAATTCGAAAAACATTCCCCAAATATGTAACTGTATATTTTCAGCCTTCTGGCTGCCAAGCTCTTTCAATAAACCGTTAATTATTATTATTATTATTATTATTAAAATATTTGTAATAACCCTTTACTCTATATCAGTTTTATCGCTATTTTTTTTTTTTTAGTTATTTTGACTTGGGTAAAATTTTTGTTTCAGTCATCCGGGAAATCTCAGGAATTTAACTAGTGGAATCAGCAGTTTAGGCAATTCTAAGCACTTTTCTTCTGTGACATTTCCCTTGCAAATGACCTTACCTAACCTCCTAACTGGGTGGCTCCATGCCCCTCCAGCATATGTAAGTAGTTTGTGAGGAAAATGTCATGGAAGAAAGGTGCCTTAGAATTGCCTAACTACTGATTCCAATAGTTAAATTCTTAAGATTCCCTTCCCGGATGACTGAAACTAAAATAATACTTGACTTTTTTATTTCACCAAGAAAGGTAAAGGGAAATTGTGGGGTTGTAACAAAATACAGACCTGACCTAACCTAACCTTAAAAACTCTCCAAATTGTATGTAATCTCTTTAGTGAAATAATTCTTTTTTTAAACTGGAAAAAATATACGCAATGTATGATAGTTTGACGTGAACGGCTAAGTTCTTACTACGGCTATTTTACCGTGAGTGCGCTCTGGGTATTATTACAGTTTCAGCCCCAACTCGGTTAGAACAATTTTGTGTTTAACATTAGTTATATCTCGTCAATAGAAACAACTTTTTCTAATGCAGTACCACTTCCGTTACAAATGGATATTAACCAAGAAATAAATTAATGTAAGAAATTAACGTAAATCTGCAGTCACCGTCTGTTTGTTTACAACTGACCTGCTTGGTCTAAGCATACTCTCACCTAATCTAACTTCACCTAAATCCTAAACTGCATTGACATTTTTACTTTTCTACTTTCATCCAAACATCTCGAGAAAAAATTAATGCAGTGTATATTTTGCAGTTTTATTTGGTGGTAATGGACAATTAGCCAATCAGAGTACACTCACGGCAAAATAGCGTTAGTAGGAACTTAGCCAGTAACGGCAAAATATCCAATGTCAAAAATATACAGAAAATTTGAAAAAATACTTTCGAGTGAAGTACAGGATATACTGTATCATTTTTAGCTCTTATCTCCCTATATACAAATCAAGAGGTCCATGGCTGTACTTCTTGAATTAAACAGATACTGTACAGTAGGTCTTAAAAAACTTAAATGATAAAGGCAGTGGATATTTTGCCGCGAGTCGATCGCTATGTAGCTATAAACATACCTAACCATATTTCTGTTGTGCATATGTAAGAGGTGACGTTTACCAGAACCTAATGGAACCTGACCAAAGAAACCCCCCAACCTTACCTCAATTCCTAGCCGGGGGCGGACCCCCCCCCCTCCATCATATTAAACAGAATGTATTTAGCCAATCAGAGTACACTCACGGTAAAATAGCATAAGTAGAAATTTAGCCGGTCACAACAAAATATCCACGATACGAATGATAAATGGTTGATAAATAAACTTCTCGAGGCAGCAAAACTTAATGGTAAAACATCCACCACTTAGTTAAGGAAGTCAACTTTGGCTGATCAAATCTATATTATTGATGTAGAAAGACACGTGATATAGAATTATATACAGCATGTCACAGCTAAATTATAATGGTGACATAAGTTCGACATACAATACAGCAGCTGCTGCTTCTCTCAGTCTCTCTTATCCTCGCCTTAACTTAACTTTATATCACTTACCCTTATTTCTAGCTTGTGCTTCCGTGCCTCAGCTTGGGGACAGGTCGTCAGGATCAACACCAGTGACAGCAAAATATATCCTAAATCTATTTTGCCCATCTTGATTATTTCTCTCAACTGTCGGCCATGACACTGACAGTCACTCGTAGGCATTTCAATTACGTGGAATTTACATTATAAATATATATCTCGTATTTTATTCCATGCAGATATAATTTATTTTTATTGTACGACATTTACAGAATTTATTATATTTATATACATTATTTGACAATATCTTTTTACTGTAATAAAAATAGTTTAATTGTGAATGGTGCCAGAACATAAACAAGGGGGTGAGGAAACTAACAGCTGATTGGTGGAAAACGCTGCAGATAATACTGAGAGCAGCCAATCACAGGACTGATGTTAAACTATCTTCCCATTCTTATTCAAAGAGCAAGATGGAACTTCATTGTTATCCAACTTATCCAGCGAAATGGTAAAGGACATTTTGTTTTAATATTTACGGTATAGATCATAGAAGTTTCATGTGTGAGTGTGTGTGTGTGTGTGTGTGTGTGTGTGTGAGTGAGTGAGTGAGTGAGGGAGAGTTAAACATTGTGTGTGTATGGGAGAGAGATGGGACGTGTGTGGGAGAAGATATGCGACGTGTATGAAAGATGAAACGTGTATGAGAGATGAGACGCACGTGTGAGAGAGATGTGAGGAAGCTCCTGTACAGTATGATGTGAGCGTGAAATAGTACCACACCGGATGCCTTCTATTGCACTATAAAGGGCAAACCAACTCTTCGAGATTTGTCTAATATATAAAGAAATATTATTGTGTGTGCTGACCATTACACCCCAGGTCGCCATTGTTTGTAGACTGCCTCACACTACCACATGTAGACAGATAATTCATTCGGTATAACTTATACAAATTTATATTAATTCTGTACTCATATAGACAATGCAGTTATACAAACAAGGTACAGTATATATGCAGTATAAATACTGTAGGTGTACAAACAAGGTACAGTTTATATGCAATATAAATGGGTACACAAACAATAGTTAACATTTTGGCACAATAAAACCATCAGTACACTATAATAGTGTTAGTCTGTAGCCTAGCACAGTTGATACCCTGGGGTCGAATTCACAGATTCCTATACTAAATGTTCTTCATAACAGAATACACATAACTCGTTAGCTTTAGCTAAAACACCTGAAGAATCATTCCACCCACCTTATTTCACCTCAAGATTAACCACCCTAACGCTTACCTAACCTAACTTCATCCCCTCAAATAGTGTTAGAGTGGTTAATCTTTAAGTGAAATGAACTGGTGTGAAATGATTCTTCAGGTGATCCTTGTTGTCTGAGAAACGTATATAGTTAAGATAAACCGCAGAAGAAAATTCTGGAGTTATTTTTATGCTTCAGATTAAGGTAACCAGTTAGACTACCACCCAGTTACCTTTGTTTATCTGGAGAAGTGGCGACAGCAGCAGGAAGGAGCATTTGCGTGGTGTCTCCAGAGATATTACTTTATATCTCATTTTCAGACTTGAAAACGGGGGTACCCTGTAAATACTCAGGAACTGTCAGAGAGAGAGAGAGAGAGAGAGAGAGAGAGAGAGAGAGAAGGAGTTACGGAGGAAAGTTGAGAAAAAGAGTAGTGAGAATGTTGAAAGAGAAAAACAAATAAATATAATAGGATAAATTACAGGGAGATAAGAGTTGAAGGAATCATTAAGGAGAAATGAGGGAGAGAGAAAAATTTAAATGTGAAGTAGCCTAAAGGGAGATCGGAGTTGAGGCAGAGAAGTAAATGAAATGTTGAGAAGAGAGAGTTGAGAGATAGAGGGAGTTGGGAGAGTTTCGAGTGATGAGCGAGTGGCACAGCAGTTGTCCCAGTGGTCAGTTGGCGCCAGTCGACAGTCGGTCGTGGTGGGTCAGTACAACAGCACTGCCACAACTCAGCGTCATTCTGCTGAGGCTGCGGAAGTGACATTACTGTATTTACTTTGATCAGTGATACCTACAGGACCTATAATTCATCTGGTGAAGGATATTACTGAAGCTTCATCATTTACTGGATCAAGGACCACAAGATGTCAACACTACCTAGATTCATGTGTACTTCCCAGGGGGTGAGTGTTGCCATCGCACAATTTATAATTATTTCACTGTCTAAAAAATAAGGTAAAGGTTTACGAAACCGTTATCACCAGAAGGAAATGTGCGATTTGGTTTATTTTTTAATGCACTATTAGCATGATATTAAACACAGAAATGGAAACGACAAACTTTTTCGGAGTGAGTGTTGTGAACTCTTGGAACAATCTACCGGAAAGTGTTGTGACGGCACCGAGTGTGAGCTCTTTCAAGACCAGAGTTGACCAACACTGGAGCAGGTTCAGGAGCTGGTGCATGCCCAGCACTTGCTAACAATGCGTAACAGAGACGTGACCGATCGCCCAAGCGGCTAACGAGCCGATCAGTGGTGAAGAGGATAAAACAAAAACACATAGACCCTGACCTAACATACCCAAAGGTTCGGTATGTTAGGTCGGGTTTTATTAGGTTCTATGTCTTGTCGTGTTAAATTATGTGTTAAACAACTTATCTTAATATTTAGGTTGATATACATCATCGATGGTGATGAGGAATTCGAGGAAGCGATCCCCGTCTTTGAGGAAACTTCTCTTGAAGAGGGATTCAGCGAGATAAACAACAAAAATGGCACCGGGAGGAGAATTGTGAAGCGGGATAGAGTAAACAAAAAAATTATACTAGAAAGTTGTTTCTTTTAATGTATTTAAAATCATAAAACAATGAGTATAGCAAAAATAAAGAAAATTTACAAACAACTAGTGATAACGGTTTCGTAAACATTTACTAAAAATAAGTATACACACACTTGCAGATTTTCGTGGCGATTGCGTAAATGTTTGGGACAACCTGTCAGAGAATGATGTGACGACACCGAGTGTGTGAGCACTTTCAAGACCAGACCTGACCTGACCAACACTGGACCCAGGTTCAGATGCATTCAGGAGCCGGTGCTTGCCCATTACTTGCCATGAGTGTGTAACAGAGACGTGACCGACAGCCCAAGCTGCTAACGAGCTGATCAGTGGCGAAGAGGATAAAAGTAAAAGTAATGTTATCCTGTACTGTAGTATAGGAAAACTTCGCCCATCACCAATTGAGGACACTGTGACTGTTGTAATCGAAGTATTCGCGCGAAAATCGGTAAAAGTCAGCGTGCATTATTTTTCTTAGACACCCTGTATATATATGTGTATGTGGTAGTTATATTTTAACTAGTTGTACTAATCTCTTTCGCTAGCAAGTTTGGTTTTAGTTTTAAGCTATTTAAAAAAATCAAGAACGTACGCGAACATTCATGATTTGTTTACTTTGTCTACTCCCATTTTTTTCTGAAAATTTTACATTTTCCTGCCTTCAGATTTTGGATATATATATATATATATATATATATATATATATATATATATATATATATATATATATACTATCATCATCATCATCATGGGTGGGTAATAACTTATTTATATACTGTACAACGCAGAGGAAGAGGATATTGTCGTGGATTTCTCCCCTACAAACGCTGTTTGTCGCTGAGTAGCCGACCCCGCGAATTCCCCAGTGTATGCCTCGTGGTCTGGGTCAACCAGTGCCGCCATACATCACGGAGGTCAACTACTAAGCCACGCCTACCCCCGCTATTTAAGACCTGACCTCGTGGTGACCTCTCTCTTCTTCTAGCTACAGCCACAGCAAGCAACACCACCTCCGCCACTGCTGCCTGGCGGTCCTCGCTCCCGCCGGCGAGCATGGCGACCCACAAGCTGTCCTCCTCTGAGCGCCCTCACCAACCAGCTCTCTCTACATCACGCTTGTAAACACGCTGCCACTTCCCAGCACCAAGCTGCATTGTACATCCAATACAACTGTCGTACCTAATACAGTGTAACCTAACCTAACCAGGTAGTAGGCAGCTACCAAACAGGGAGTTACTACCGCCTGGGGAAGATATTGGAAGCATAATGTGTTGTCTTATGGTAGATCCTACTGCCATATGGCATCACAAAAATTGTGACCAAGTCCTAGGTTGCTGATCTGACTTTCTGCCCCATTTACACACAATTGCAAGGTCTCAATTGTCTCTACTTTGACGACACAACATACTGTATAATACTCTATATCGTTTCTCACTTGATTTATTTGTTCATTTTTGTATTTATTTGTGTTTATTATTAGTTTTATTATTATTATTTATTTTTGTTATTATTATTGATATTATTATTATTGTTATTAATTTATTATTATTATTATTATTATTATTTATTTTTGTTATTATTATTGATATTATTATTATTGTTATTAATTTATTGTTATTAATTTATTATTATTATTATTATTATTATTATTATTATTATTATTAGTATTATAATATTTTCGCCCCCCAGGCCCTGGTGTGGGTCAGTGACCTGTGCCCGGGTGGGCTAATGCTCGTCAAAAAATAAATAAATAAATAACCTAACCCAACCTCTCCTATCTAATCTTAAAGTAACCAAACCAAAGCTGTCCTAACCTAATCTAATCAATCACTCAATCAATCATAAGATAACCTGTCGTAACCCAACCCAACTTTTGATTAAATTCAACCTAATCACCACTTACTAGAGAACTAACAAAGACCATTAACCGTCTAACAAAGGCTACTAACCACCCATCAAAGGACGCTAACTAATTAAGGCCTTCTACTAGCCAGCATAATACGTGACAAAAATCCCAACATTAGACAAAGACGCATCCTGTTTACTAGACCCGTGAGTGTGTGTGTGTTTCACTGGAAGGCTTTTATTTCCGAGAGACAAAAGGGAGACCAGAATCATGAGAGAAAGAATATTTATTTTTAAATATTTTTTATATGAACTAAGGTATATTTAGAGGTTAGATTAGGTGAGGCTAGGTCAGGTTACGTTAGGTTAGATTCTGCTAAGTCAGGTCACGAGGGGGTCATAGGACGAAAAGTTACAAGGTGTCACAGGAAGAGGGGTCACGACATTAATCAGTGCCTGTCATTTTTCTGAGATTATTGCGACTGGATATCCGCTTCCTCACCCTCGGCACTGCTGTCCTTGAAAGTGGTGGGGGGGCGTGACGGGGGGGTATGGGGGCTTGAGAGGGAATGAGGAGCTGGATATGGGGGATAGGAGCGTGACGGGGTCGAGGACGGAAGGAGAGAAGGACATGGCAGAGGGAGAGAAAGAAAGGAGGGAATGATGAAGGATAGGAGAGATTGAGGGAAGGAAAGAGAAATGGGGAAATGTAGAGGGGAGAGAGGGACGGAGGGTGAGGGGGAAGGAGGGAGGGAAGTAGAGAGACATGGATGGAGAGAGGCATGGAAGGAAGGAGAGAGAAAGACAACATAAAAGTAACGAAATAATCAGAGGTCATGGTCCACAATGCAACAGCTAAAGGACCAATCAGAGGTCGTGTTAGACCGGATCCAAGTGGATATTTCTATAAAATACTCTTGAGGTTCCACAGAATAATGCTTAAAAGCAATGAAAGCAATTGTGAGCGGACGGTTTGATTAGATTAGTTTAGGTTTAAACAGCCCTGGCCCAAACCAAATGCCCGTGGCTGAATCGTCACTATATATATATATATATATATATATATATATATATATATATATATATATATATATATATATATATATATATATATATATATATATATATATATATATATATATATAGGGTGATTCAGCAAATAGTACATTAAATTGGAGGATGAAATCCTTGGGTAATTCTAAACCAATTACTCTTTGGTAAAATATCAGTTTCTGCATATTTTCCAGGTTACAATACATTTAAGATGTAGTAATGAGAGTGAATTTGATGTGAAACCCCCGTAGGTTTCTTTAATAATTTATTCACAGATGTCATATGTACAGCAGTACAGCGTGATACAGATGAGTGAGGTTGTAACAAAGAGGGGTCACACTGTAGAGATAAAAATTAGAGAAATTTTAATTACTACTAACGATAAAAACCACGAAAATAAATGTTACACATTTTTTGTAGGTTCGGTCCATTTTTGTATTTTACTTTTATAACGATAACAAGCGCTAATTTAGTCTAATCTCACGAACGAAAAATATATATTGAAAAAAAAACTTCATAATTGGTGTGTGTGGAATTTGATAAGGTTTTTACATAAATTATTATTTTGTTCATTTACTAGGTAACAGTAACCTTGTTAAAGTTCTGATTTCGTTAGGTTAAGATAGTTTTGGTTAGGTTAGGTTAGTTTAAGATAGGCTTGGTTAAGGTTAGGTTAGGTTTAGTAATGTTAAGTGAGGTTAAGATAGGTAAGATAGGCTCGGGTATATATTTTGAAAATCATCGTACCCTTCTGTACTACGTTCACCACTTCGTTGACGTATTTGGTGAAATCTACGCGTCGCTGTGTAGTGATACAAAGGCTGCCCTGCGGAGTGATGACTACGTAATTAGTGCGTATGTGCGATTACGAAATGCGTTCTCTATCGCTCTTGGGGGTTGACGCTCTGCTGTGAGTCACTCGAGTTTCCGCCGCCAACTTCCTGCGCGAGGGACGTTTGGACTGACCGAACACCAGACCTTCGATAAGTTCGTTTGTTGGCAAAGATATTTCATTCAATACCTAAAGTTGGATCATCTGAAGATTAACCCCATAAGCTTATTTCACGTGACAATTAAATGCCCTAATGCTGTCTGGAGAGTTAGGGCACGTTAGGTTGGTTTAGGTTTTATTAGGTTAAGTTAGGTTAACTTATGTTAGGCTAGGTTGGGTAAGAGAGATTTGATTAGGTAAGGTTAGGCTAGATTGGGTTACGTTTGATTAAGTTATGTTAGGTTGACTTGCATTGGGTTATGTAAGGTTTGGTATGTTAGATTAGGTTATATTGGGTTAGATTAGGTCATGTTAGGTTAAATTAGATTATGTCCTGTTGGGTTAGATTAGGTCATGTTAGGTTAAATCAGTTAGGTTATGTTGGGTTAGATTAGGTCATGTTAGGTTAAATTAGATTATGTTATGTTGGGTTAGATTAGGTCATGTTAGGTTA